AATCCACTCACTGAGGGTAATCCAACAGCATTGTCCCACACCAGCCAGGTCTTGCAGTGGTCAGCTGGTTCTGACTCTCCATCCCTGAGAGACCACTTTGAAACCTGCTCCCCAAAGCTGTAGGAAGCACTGGGGAAATGCTCTTGCTGTGGCCCTGTACAGCCACTTCCACATCTGCACTACTCTTGGCCCTTGGCCAGCTTTGCAGCATCACTTATAAAAGCCAAATTCTGCTCTTTATACTTGGCTCTATTAAACCTTTTCATTTCTTTTCAGCTGGATCATTAGTTAGATGATTCTGTATTGTTTTTGACATCTGTATTCTTCCCTGAAAAATTAGAGAAATCCCATTTATAGGGCTACCCTGTCACTGAGAGAACAGACCAATATACACTTGCTGAGTGGACAGCCTGTTTAATGTCTTTTTCTAAGCAAGTATCACTTCCTCCAAAAGAGGTTGTTCCTATGCTTTGAGGACTCCCTCAAAGCATACAATTGTCAGAAGACAATTTATGCTTCCTGTTCTCTGACTTGCCACAAAATGAAGTCACTGTTTATAGCTGCTTGCATTTGGCAGCAACACTCCCAGTTTGGTCCCATCTGGAACCACAGAACGGTTTGGAAATCTTTAATGGTCACCTGCTCCCAATGCCCTCCCATAGGCAGGGACACCTTGAACTAAATCTGGCTGCTCAGGCACCTTTCCAGCCTGTCCTTGAATGTAGAGATGGGGCATCTACTACCTGTCTCAGGGGAACAAAGGGCACCAGGTCTCTCAGGGTCGCAAAGGTGATTGAGAGCAATATTCTGCACCCATTAAAGAAACCAAACACAAAACATGTAAACATGTGGATCACTAAGAGCCCGGGGTAGTTGGGAGGAACCATTTTGTCCTCAGATGTACCAGCCATCTCTATAAACGCCATGGTTTGATCAGAGCACTTTTCACACCACTGAAGTCTGATGCTCTTCCCACAGGACAGGTAAACCTTTTAAATCCATCAACTGAAGAGACCACTAAAAGCTACACAGCTTTATTGATATGGCAAGAATGAGGCTGGAAACAGACTGTGTATCTTGACTTTCTTCTCATCCCTGGTCTTCCACTAGAGGCTGGACTTAGCCCAGGTCTGGTCTACTTTTTTTATGACATGAGAGGGCCTGAGTCACTTTTTCAACACACTGACTTATTGAAAACCTCCCCTTATGTAAACTTTCTATTTATTGACACTCCTGAGTTGCCAAGTATCCTACAACTTGGTGCTGGGCACAGCCCCCACCTTGCTTTATCAGGCAGCTCAGAGAAACACCTACTCTGTAAATACAAGGGAGTTTCTGTTCAACCTCAGATTCATAAAATGAGCATGCCAGAACTTTCGGTCCTTCTGTTCCTGTGGCACAGAGCAATCCATCAGGCAGAGGGACTACTGTCCTGTGCTGCCTGGCTGGTGAGTTGAGGCTCACAGCTGGTGCAGGGCTGTTCCTGCTGGGTGAGAGGGGGAGATGCAAATCTGAACTTTGAGCATGGTGGGAAAACTATTATTTTAACAAGTACTGCTGAGGTTGGATTTACTAAGGGAGGGGAGAAAAGGGGCAAGGCTCAGGAAAGTGTTCCCCCTCAGGCAGTGATTTGTGATGTGTTTTGTGATCTGGGATGGGCAGCTGGTGAAGGCAGAGTTCCTGCAGGGCTCTTTGCTGCTGCTTTCCTGTATGAACACCACAGCTGGAAACTGCCCCCTTTGTCTTCCACAAATTTTAATAGGATGCTGTTAACCATCTGGTGATGAAAGTTTCACTTTTGGCTACCACCACCCTGAAGCCTGCTCTCCCAGCCATAGGGACAGTGCCCCTCACTCAGCATTTACTGTGTGCCACAGCAATCACCAGGGTTATTATGGTGATGTGTTTCACTGTCTTTGATACAATAGCAGGTGAAGACCAGCACCCCAATGTGTTTGGGTCAGGGTATGGTCACAGAAAGTCTCAGAGAGTCTCACAGAGTCTCTGAAAGTCTCTGATGAAAACTCCTTGAGGAGTTTTTAGTTTCACTAGCAAAGGGTGAGAGGAATGGAATTGTCAGTACTGTGGTCATACAGATAGGAAGGATCTCATGGTCTGATTTCACTAATTTAATGTCTAGCTTCTACATGGCACCCATGGCTTTTCTGGTGAGTAGTAATAAATGGAAAGGGTAGTTCCTGGAAGAAGGCTCTTCATTGCCCCATGTGCTCTGCAAACATGGCTTGATTTCAGAGTATGTATAGATACACACATGGAGACTGCTTCTGCCCTACTTGCTGCATAGCAGATCTGGAAACATAAACTTCAGAAAACATGGGCTGAAGTGGCACCTGGAATGTGGTCCTTACAGCAACAAGAACAGGAGATGCCACCCTCACAGCCTTTCCTTGGTGTTACAGTGCTCAGTTATAAAACAATCTGTGAGATTTCTTGCCAGCCTTGCCAGTCTGGAGGCACATAGACTGAGGAGCAGTGTACATGTTTACATCCACTTAAAAAAACCCTGTTGGCAGCTCAAGGCAGGCATCCCATATGGCCTGAAGGCTGATTTACACCTCTTTACACACTGAATCTTAACTGTCAAACTTCATAAGTCTGAAAACATTTCCTATAGAAAATGAAGCAGCCAAGACAATCTTACTCTCTACTCTCTCCTTTAAAGAAAAAAGAAAAGAAAAGAACAGAAGCTGAATGATCACCTCAGCTTTTGCCACTCAATGCTAATTGAGTCCTCAATGCAGAGCCACCATGTCCAGCTGACCAAAGGGGATGATATTGGATTATTTCAGGTCTTATGGGAAGATTTCCCCATTCAGAAAACAAAATGTTTGAGACCTGGATGGTGTAAGGGGGCTTACAGCCTGCCAGAGAAGCTCTCTGGAGAGGTAAGCAGAGTTTGGTTGCCTGACAAGATGTTGGTGAACAAAACTGATCATCCACTGAGTGTGCTTGGGTGCCCAGGACTCTCTCCCTGACAGTTTTCTCCTGCAGAGCTGCCAGTTCTGCATACTTGGTTGCAATTTCTAGGACAGGGCAGTGAAACCATTCTGTGCAGCTCATTAATCATTTCTCAATCCAAGAGAGAGAGAATTTTTTTTTTTTTAATTTTGGCAGCCTGTGAGCAACCCCTCCACTGAAAGGGCTCCCTGACCTCTCCTGGTGTTTAGGATTTCATCTAGGTGCATTAAAAACTAGGTGCATTAAAACCATACTTTGGTGAAGTGCTTTGGAATGGCTGTGCTGTGTGGGGTGTCCCAGAGGAGCACACCATGCTGTCAGCCCAGTCTGCCTGGACTGGGTGTGCTGTTATCTGCTCTTATCCCTGTTCCAATTCCTTCCTTCCTGTAGCTCATGCTTTCTAAAGGGAAAGTTAATGAGCCTGTTAAGGGAAGTAGATAGGTAAAGCAACAGTGTCTGTCTGTGGCATAGGCACATCATTGCCCAAATGTGGGAAAGACAAGATAGATGAGAAAAAGTAAGAAAAGGAACTGAAGAAGAGTGTCCTCAGTAAAAGCCAGCACAAGAACTCAGGGCTAATTGCAAAATTCAGAAGGATTAATGAAAAAAAAAAAAAGCATTAATTTTCTGCTCCAGTGGAGAAAAGGGAATTTTGCACATGCTTTTTAAAGATACAGGAGCATATGAGATATCTGATTTAATTACTATTTCTCCTTTGAGTAGAGCAGTCACTTAAACAAGAGTGTGATGCATGCTGGTGAAAGGCAGGGCAGCTTCTGGACAGCTAGACTGGAATCTTCTTCAACAGAAGAGCAAATAAGCCTGACTTTCAGAGGCAGCCATCTCCCCAAATTCCACTGAAAGAAACAAAAGGTTAGAGAATTTTGACCCTGGTTGATGGCTTGGGTTAAGCTGCCTATTGTAGTTTAATTTCTTTGCATTTTTTGTGTCAGCAGAATTACTGATACCTCATGTGCTATGGGTACTTCATCACTGCAGGGACCTTAATGATGTATTTTGGGAATAATGAATCCTTCTGTTGGGGTTCAAATGTTTAATTCCAAAGGTGTCCTTAACAAGATGTTCTCCTCACAGTAACAGAGTGTCCTCTTTAAAGGTCAGATCCCATCAGAAAAGGTTAAGAACAATGTGAAAACTGTCTTTGGGAAGTGCAGAACAAAAGTGGTCTTGTGCCTCTGGAATTTGTTCTCAGCAAGGACTGATGTCCAAGAGGAAATGTCAAGAAAGCAGATGTACTTACAAGGCTGGAGACAGGAGCTGTGACTAATATAATGGTTTATTAACTAAGAATAACAGATTTTAAGCCTTTGAGTTGGGGACGTTAGAGGACTAGAAGGAGGAACCCCAATCCAGAGCCTTGTACATTGAGCTGCTATAGAGAGAAGTTAGGCAAGTATAGGTGGAAAAAGAAAACAGAGAAAAAGAAATTATGTCCTTATTAAAAAACCAACAAGTGCAAATACAAGAATACTTTAGATAGGCCTGTTTTTCAGAGAGTGGTTGTTAAGACTGTCTGAAATCTAAACTTTTCAAGGTGTCTTGGTGGGTGTGGTAAACCTGCTGGCCTTTTAGGTCACAGCTGTTGTTCAAGAGCAGTACATGGCTTCCACAACAGACTGGCTCCTGCAGATCTCTGCAGAGCAAGAGGAGTTAATGTTTGCACTGAGATAAATCTTTGTTCTTGTTCAGTGTTTACCAGATTGACTAACCAGGCACCACATTTGCTACCAGCAAGAAGCAAACTTAAATGCAAATAGAGCAAGAGGACACAGCCTCAAATGTGACCGGGGAGGTTTTAGATTGGATATTTTAAAAAATTTCTTCACTGAAAGGGTTATCAAGCAATGAAAGAGGCTGCCCAGGAAAGTGGCTGAGTCATCATCCCTGGAGTATTTAAAAGATTTGCATATGTGGCACTCAGGGTTTAGTGGTGAATTTCGAAGTCTCAGGTTAATAGTTGAACTTGATGGTCTTAGAGGTCTTTTCCAGCCTAATTGGTTCTATAAGCTCAGAATGCCTGTTCACAATGTAAAAGGTAGAGACTGAAAGAAAAACAGCAGGATGGAGCCCTCAACAGTGGTACCTCGGTCCCACAGGTATGTCTAATACCCTCAGGAAATTCTTCCAAGGTTTAAATTAAATTCAGTTAATTGTAACTGAAGACTTTTTCTTGAAGGAAAAGAAAATCAACAAGTCCTTTAATGCTTGTTTTAGCTGCTCCTGGGGGGTGTGATTATTATTCCTGGCAAAATCTAGTCCATAATGCCTTGTGCTGTCTTTAATAATTTCTGACAGCACAAAGTCATGGGAAGTCTTTCACAATTCAGCAGGTGAGGGGTCAAGATCCCTGTAGAGGGAATAAAGAACTCTAAGAGGTGCGGGAACAAAATAAAGGACCTCTCTGCATGTAACAACTGCATTCTTTATTTTGTAGGTCTGTGTTAGTGTTTAGTAGATCTGTTACCCAGCTCTTGTGTATTGACATGTGAAAAGTTGTTGAATATAACCATTAATTTGCATCTGTTCAGGATGTGGCTTCCTTGTTGTCATGACTCATAGTGCATAAGGATGCTGAATGTGTCAATAAAAACTCATTGGTTTTCTGCAGGAGGGACAGCGTTTGGAAGAATGGAGGCTTTATGTGCCAGGGTAGATGGCCAGTGTTTGCAGAGATACTGTGCTCTGGTACTGCTCTTCCTGAAGCCTCAGAGTTTGGAGTTTTAGATCATTTGTGGCAGAATTGTGACAATTCAAAAGTTCAAATTATAGATTGCTCAGAGTGCATATCAGTAGACCTGGTGTTTCTTCTTCTGCATCTAGGAAAATATTTTTTTTTAAATGAAATTACTGAAAAAACATAGAAGCAACTGTGTCAATATAGTTTCTGCCTGCCAAGAAGGGCCAAAGGTAGATAACTGGAAGTACAGTTTGTGAAATTGGTATGAGCAAGGCTCTCAGCAGTTTCATACACTTAGTTTATGAGCTGGATGGATATCAGACCCTCTGCCCACAAACTCCATAAATGTGCCTGAATGTCCTTGAATTCTCTAACTCAACAACCTTCTTTGAAATGTGTGATTTATGTGTCTCACTGAAGAATACCTCATTTGTTCGCACCCTCATTTGTTTTAAAATTGTTGCCTGATAATGTCATCGAGCACTGTGGTTTTGTGATCTGGGGAGTGAAACTGAGACTCTCCTTCTCTATCCATTTTTCCATGTCACTCATTATTTTATAGCTCACTTCCAAAGAACACTTCAGGTGTGGTTAAACAATATAGTAAACCCAGATGCCTCTCAAAGACATGGGGATCACATGAGACTGATAACTGGGAATGAATTCATCTTCCTGCTCAAGTGTGCTCCAAGAATGGATTTGTTTTTTCACTATCTGGCTTTATGCTGGATTAGGTACAATTTTGGCAAAAGCTTATGTATGAATGCTTTGATCATTCAGACAAAAACATGATAATGAACCCATACCTGACTCAAATCCATGCCAGGTGACCCAGCCATGCATGGATTTGGTATTTATGATCAGGGAATGACCAGAACAGGAGAAACATTCTATGAGGTCAGAGCCCATATCCATCTGGCAATGTGTTCTTCTCCAGCAGTGAGAAAAGGATGGGATATTCAGGGAGAGCACATGAGCCTGGGCACTTTCTGTGTTCCATTCTCCTTAGCATTCAGAACATTTTTATCATGAGTGTTAATGGGTATATCCCCATCCAGTCCTTTTAGTATTTTCAGTCTTATTTCATCAAGTGTTGTGTGTTATGCTGTGAAAGAAGCAGCTCTGCTTTCATCCTATTTGCCAGTTTAAATTTATAAAATTTCATCCTAGTGCCACTCAGTCATCTCCTCTCCAAATGAAGAGTTACAGCTGTTTCAGCCTGTTATAAAATGACTTTTCCCACCTTTTTTTCTGTGCCTACTCTAACCCTGTTGCCTTATTTGAGATATGGAGACCAAAGCTGCACACAGAATGTGAGATGTTAAACTGATTTATTCTGTGATCCTGTGCAATGACCTTGTGCAGGTTCACCAGTGCTTTAAAGGCAAGCTGACACTCACTCCTTTCTTTCTGACAACACCCTGCACAGTGTGGACGCTTTTAACTGATGCTGCACACTGAGCTGCTAATCCAGAGACCACCAGGGTGACTCTAGGACCATCTTCTATTGTTTGGTAGCCAGTTCAGCATTCTCAGGCATGCTTCATTATTTTTACCTCACTGCTCCACCAGAAAAGCTCAAGCTATCATCTCTTTCTCAGGCTAAATAGACTCTGCCAGGACCCTCTTTTGATCACACTTCACATTGTTTTCTCTGCATTGCTCAGTTTTAGGTTCCTTTTGAGATGGGAAGACAAAGCAGGAAGCTGTAGCCAAAATGCAGTAATTTAGTGGCATAAGAGGTTCCCTGTCACATTTTTATTTAATTTCTTATCCTTTCTAATGGCTGATTTCAGGTTTTGACTGCTGCAGTGCAAGAAACAGGAGTTTTACACAGAAATATCCACAAAGACATCAGAATTTCTCCTGAATAGCTATTTTAGAGCCTGTTCTTGAAAGCACAGACCCAATGTGTAGCTAATCTTCACCACTGTATTATTAACTTACAATTTTCTTTTCTTACAGAGGAGATATTAATAGTCTGGACACATAAAGTCACGGTGTCACATAGATATGAAAAACCCCAAGATGCAAAACTGTTACCTGTAGCTGCCACAGCTGGTTTTTAAATTGCAGCTTGTCATACAGAATTCTGTATTCACCTTCTTGAAGAGCTGAAGTTTACCTATTGCAAATCCTTGGACCTGTCAAAAAAGCAGAACCAGGGGGAAATCAGGAAAAGTGTAAACAAGTTAAGGCAGCTTGTAAAAGCTCCAAGCTTTGAAAGAACCACACCAGAAAAAATGAATTTGGGGATAAAGGGAGGTTCTTTGCTGAAGCAGGATGAAAGATCTGACAGTATATTGAACAAAGCAACCCTGCACTGGGAAACAGTGAATTAAATGAATTAATTGTCAAGTTTTCCTTTAACTTCTATAATCCTGAGAAAAGAAGGCATGAAATGAATACATTTTAGCCACTCATTAAGATTTGTTTGCTTGACATATGTCCAAGATCACAGAATTTATTTTATTTGGCCTTCCTTGATAATTAAATATAGTGCAATAAATTTATTATCACAAGTGATATAATATTTTAATAAAAAATGATTGTGAATTAACCAGCTGTGGTTATGTGACTGTTTAAGATTTATTAGACTTTTCATTTTGAAGCCATATCTTTGTATTGTAATTATATTTTATTCTTTGGAAAAAGGGATTGAAGTTATGAGATAATTTCCTTGACTAGTATATATTGTGGGAGTGTTAAAATGAGCCAAGAGTCATTCCTACATTTCAGGTTTGTTATTTCTTTTCTTTTTCATTAGAAATGAAAAGAAGTAACATGTTTATAACTTAGAGAACTTGTGTTTATTTCATGTAAATTAGAACTACTCACGTGCAGATAATTATTCACCTAGTGCTGTGTTGTTTGATATACTGAAAGACTCTCTTGAAAATGAACTTACACTGAAAGAAGTGAAATTTGAAGGAGCTGAGTAAAAGCCCACCAAGACATCTTAGAAAATGCAAATAACAAAATCCAAAGATAAAACCTCACCTACCAAATTTTATGTTCATGTGTAGAAAGGCACAAGGTTTTTTTTCTTCTTGCTTCAGTTTCTGCTCCCTGAGCCAAGGCAACCACTGGCTTAGAGTCTTGAGGCACTGGAGCTGGCTCAAAGCTGAGGTGCACAAACCTTTGGTCATCACTGAACTAAATAATTTTGATGGTTCCAAAAGGTTTGCTAAGACTGCTGCTTCCAGGGAGGAAGGGACTTGAGGGAAAAAACAGGGCAGCTGCTCCAATAAGGATTCAGCCTGTCCATGTGAGAACTGGATGGTCTTGGGGGATGTGCTGGATAAAACAGGCTTTGTATCTCTGTCTGTCCTCTGTGTGTCCAGCTCTCACCCCCTGGTTTCTTTCCTCTCTGCCCTCCAGGAGCACAGCTCACACACCAGCACAAGGGAAGGGCATCTCAAGGCTACAAAAATGAAACTTGACAAATATCTTGGTCTTAATGTAGCCAAGCCCAAGTCTGGGTTTTGTCTGACCAAGTTCTGGAAAACTGCACGGAGCGGGGGCTCTGAGGAAGGGACAGAAGGTGCCTCCCCAAGCTGCACATGCCTGTGTTTAAATGGCCCAGTTTATTCTTTCAACTTCATAAGTGATGGAGGAGTGTTTTCTGCCACCCCACAGTGAGAGCCTAGAGTGAGGTAGATAACCTGCACCCTGCAAGTGCCTGCGTGTCTCTGGATGGCTTGTAACCATTCCCAAAGCAGGAAGCCAGTCTCCTCTTGAAACAACTCCTCAAGCACACAGACTTCTGAAAAGATGCATTTAAACAATGTGGAGGAACTCTGAGGTTCAGTATTAGTGAGGTCATTTGAACTCTCATGCTGACAGCTCTGAAGTGGATTTTTTTTGCCAACTTTCCTTTAAATTAGACTGCAAATTGCAATTATTGGATCTAAGAGAACATTATGGTGTGCAAGAAGTGATCACAGAGCCTCTGTGATGATGGGACAGCTTAGATGAAAAGAAAGAACATGAAAGCAATTTTTAGAAAGCTGGACGCTGCCATGAATGAACCTTGACAAGAGGAGAATGAAATTTGTGAGTCTTTTTTTCAAGGTATGAAAATTAATTCAGAGACCCAGTGGACCTGTGACACCAGTAACAGGAAATGAACTCTTGTGTTTACAGAGGTGCAAATTCAACATGGTCTGAGTACAGGCAAATGCTGTGGTATGGTTGATGTCCCACTCTTATTTACTATTTATATCAGGAAAGCCTTAATGAATCACAGTCATAAATAAGGTCTATATTGTACTGTGCATATGCAGAAAAGAAAAAGTTCCCCTAACTTCAGATTTTTTTACAATCCCCATGTGAAAGGAGCTGGGACATTCAGTCCTCTTTGAACTAAGAAATGTTCTTGATTAGCTGAGATGGCTGATTTTTAATTGCTTCTAATCAAAGCACTTAAGACAGGAAACCTCTTTGTAGCCTATAAGAATTCTTTCATCTGCCTTCTCTTTGGGCATGGAATTGCTTTATTCTATCTCAAATTAGCTTGTAGGATTCAGTGAGGAGCAAAACCTCTATTTGTGCATTATGTAGCATGTGGGGGTTAAATCTTCACTGAAGTTTGTGAGTAATACCTCAACACTAACAATCCCCAACCTTCCCACATGTCCATGACAGGTGAATGAGTTTTTCTGCACCCCAAGTCGCTCCTGATTTCCCATGTTTGTGCCTCACTGATAGCCAGGAGGTCCTGGGGGAATATGGGAGACCTTTCCTCACTATATCTTTGGGGTTTACCTAGAGGTGGCACAAAGTTTTATGCCTGGCTTAGGGATACAGATTGGTATGGATAACTTTGGTGTCATTCTCAAATCTGGTATAACTGAGTAGAAGGTCTGAACTTTCTCTTGTTAAAATTTACACTATCTTGGGGAAGAAGGGATGGAATAATTTTCAAGTTTTCAACAGTTGATTAAATTTATGTCAAAACTGTAGGGGAAAATAGTTTGTGGAAATCTGAAGAAAGGTTAATTTTTTTATTCCCTCTGTGAGAACAAACTGTCTACCACAAAAATCATATCCACAGAACACTTTCAGGAAGCCTAGCTGGTTAAATTAAGCAGTGTGGATGCTACCCGTGTGCACAGGATTAGGGTGTGTGATGGGTTTTCTCTGAGAGCCAGGCCTTATGAGCTCTCAGAGAAACCTATCACACCTGAGACAGCTCTGCTACCTGGAATGGCATAAAATCAGCACTATGGCATCTGAGGTAGTGTTGGAAACAGAAGAGTTTTAATAAAAGGCAAAATAACAAAGCTCTTACAGAGAAAACTCAAGCTAGGGGCGAGAGATTTTTGCTCTTTTACTTCACAAAAGCAATGATTTCCTTTGTTCTCTTCTTTTTTTAGTGAATTACCTAGGCAGGACTTTTTGGCTTCTGTCGAATTGGCAGCCCTAGGTTTGAGGTGAAGTCCTAAAGGTCCAGTGAGGTGTCTTTTTACCAAATTGAGGAAAGAAACTTCTGGGCTTTTTTCCTTTTTAAGGAGACAAAGGATAATTTGGTTACTTTGTCAACAAGGGGCCCATTCCTACAGGTGTGCACACTGGCACTGGCTGACTAGTGGTTTATATATCAAAGTGAAGGAGCCTGTTGTGAAAGATTGAGTCATTCAGTTCCCTGAAGATTTTATTTACTTATTTTAGACCCTTACAGAGAAGATTCTCTTTGGCAAATCCCATGTACAGAGAAAGTCACCCTGCCCTCCAGCTGAACAAACCACTTTGTCCCCATAGCTGAGCCCTGCAAGTGACCTGTGCTTGCTGCCTGTTTGTGCTGTCAAGGGACACATCTCTGCATGGTTATCTTCCTCTGGAGTCAGGGGACAGGGGTCAGGGACATATCTCTGCATGGTTATCTTGGCTAAGGTAACCTCTGGGGTCAGGGGTGCAGGAGAGCTCAGATGCAGCCTGATGCCATTTGTCCCCAAACCTCTGATAGAATAAAAACCTGAGACTGAAATCTGGTTTACTTCAAAGATGGATTTTGCTCTTGGCACCAAGCCTGGCTAGTTCTCTTTCTGTTACCCTGTGGCACCTTCTGCAGGTCTGTCTTTAAGCAATTTCAAGTGTTATGTAAATATAAGAATCATAGAATACAGCCCAGTTAACACATCAGGCTTTATTAATGGCCATTTCCTGCAGTCACCCTCTGACTCTTGCTTTGCTTGAGGCCTGTTTGTGTCTCAGTGCTACATTTCCACTCATACTGATCAGATTTTAGGATTCTTTGGCATAAAGTCATGCATTTTCTGCTATTGTATCCCTACATTGCTGACATTCCTCTTGGGCTGGCCAGTAAACTTAATTTGCTTGCTCTGAATACAACCTTTAAACATTACCAACTTCCCTTTCCAGTTTGCAGTATCTTTTCCTCCACAGCTTGAATTTGCAGATGATTTCAGATGTTTGAGCACTGGTCACTATCAGATTTACTCAGCTTGTAGATACCTGCTTGTTTTGGCTCTTTGGACTATGTGCTTCTGCAGGTAAATTTTTATACCTACAATAATTTAGGCAAATAAATCCTCTGATGACAGGGGGAAGAAAATTTGCTGAATGTTTGTCACTGCATGCTTGTGGCCAACAAAGAACCTGAAAAACGCTGCTGTTATATAAAATCCTTTGTGTTTGCCTCTCACCACTTGGTTTGTCAGTACTGTTAATAGCACAAAGTTCTCAAGCAGCATAGATTGTTTCTCTCTCTGAAACATGTGGCATATTTATTTTCTTGGAAAGCTGATGCTAGGCAGAAACACCTCTCTAACACAGCTAGAGGAGCAGCCCTTGTTCAGGCTTGTTCATTACTTTGCTGCTGAAGGGGAGTGAGAACTACCTAAATTATGTGCTGTATGTGCCACTGATACCATGGGTGTGTGTAGTGGGTGTTCTGACCAAGGTATTTACACAAATAACTTTATCTCAATTCAGTGGAAAACTGCTTTTGTTCTGGATCCTCTAATCTGCCTTTTATCTCTGGTCTTGTCACAGGCATAAAGAATGAGCTACATGTGTGAGAAGTCAGTAGATTGGAAACTTATCTTTGATTTTCTTTCTTTGCATCTTGCCATCTTGGTTTGAACAGAAGTTTTGGTTCTTGTCACATTATGTTTGCCTGTACATGGCCAAATTTTAAAAAGAAACTACATTAGATGAAGCAAAAAGTCAGAGTTTTCTCTCGTTTGCTGTCGATAAAAGGAAATTCAGAATATAATGATCTGTCTTGGAAATTAAAACTCCCTATTAACAGCTCCTCGAGTTAAATTAGAATCCAGTACAGAGAAAGGTTTGAAAATACTGTACTGATCAATTTTCTCTACTTTTTCAGAAAGGGGCTGTTTGCTGGCATGAAGCTGAAGAAGAAGAAAAAAGGCGAGAAAGGGCTGACTATTGCAAACAAAGACGCATTGGGTAAGCCTCATAAATCAATATTTCAACAAGGATGAGCAGGTGGTGGGGGATTATATTAGATCTGATTTCATGTGAACTCATTTGAATTGTGTCTCAAGGCTTAGCATTGATAAACCAGGCAGTAAACTCCTTACCACTCCAAAATAAACAGAGATGAAACATCTTTTTGCATTAACTGTTTCATGAAGGTCATGTTCAGATTCTGTGAGTTCATACTGGTCTATCTGGTACAATAAACTAAAAATGGCAGCCTGCCCCTTAACATAGAGAGATGGCATATTTTTGAGGGTTTTTTTTTTCTACTTTACAGATAGATAATTTACTACAAGTGTGTAATTCCTCTGGAAGTTCTGCTTCTTTTAGAAACCATAAATACACAGGCTGCATAGGCTGTGATGGCTGGATGGGCTGGCTCAATAAAGGTGGCAGATTTACTCACTAGTGTGTGTGTGCCTCTTGTGAGTGCACACAGGGTGAGGAGAGTGGCTACAGCCACATGGATATGGGAAATGATTTTGCACAGGAGGGGAGCTGCTGGTGTAGATACAGATACAGACCACGAGAGTATCTCTAACTGGGACACCCAAATAAATAAAATATTCAGTTCATGATGATAAATTCACTGCTCTTCTCCAAGTGAGCTTTTTGTTACTGGAAATTAGACATTGTCTGTTTTCTTCATCAGGTGGTCATGATGAGATTGCAAATTTTCTCCACGACACTCTTGGAAGACAGGAAGAGGTAGAGGAAGACCTAATGAACAGTGATGCTCTATCCAGTGCTTTTGGATCCTTAAGCACAAATAGGAAAAGGTGCTCCTTCATGTATCTTACCAAACATCCCCCTAAACATCTTTTCCAGATCCCTGTTTCCCAGGAAGGGCATTATCCTTGAACAAAACATCTGACAGAAAATCCCTTTGCTGACAGCAGTGATCCCTTTACTCCTGCTCTCCCACATGACAGAGTGGAATGCACTTGTCAGCTCAGTGATATCGCAGATGCTATCCAGTGCAGGGAGAGGTTGAAATGGATACTGGGTGTGCCTCAACTGTGCTAAGGAGTTCTAAACAAAAACAAGCCAAAGGGAACAGCAATGTCTATACCACAGAGCTTGCGTAGTTGTGCTTTTCATACAGGAGAGGAATGCAGTCAGGAGACGAATGGAGTCAAGCTTGATGGGATCAACAAGTGAAATCACTGCCATGATAGGTAGCTGCGCTGCTTTGTGTGGATGCAAAACATTTTCCTATCAAAAAGTATATGAGAAAGACAGAGATGGTCTCTGTTGATGAAATCAAGCCTAACAGTTCACAACAAAGCTGTCTGCCATAAATAATACTTGTTTACTGTTGAGAAGTCTTTCTAATGTGTGTACAAGTACCAGCTCTTGCCTAGAGATGTCTAATGACTTCTTCTGACATTTAAACAGGGCAAAGCTGGTGACCAGAATTCATGAAGAGGAGATGAAATCCCAGAACTACCAGGTGAGCAGGGGGTGACAGCCCCTATGTGACTGTGAATTTCTCAGGCATTCTGGACCTGAGCTCAGGATCCATGGTGTCCTTGTGGCCCACAGATTGCCATCACCATCATCGAGGCCAGGCAGCTGGTGGGTGAGAACATCGACCCTGTGGTGATCATCGAGATAGGTGATGAGAAGAAGCAAACAACAGTAAAGGAAGGCACAAATGCCCCTTTCTACAATGAAGTAGGTGCTTTCTCTTAAAAAAGACATTTTCTTCAATGGTTCTGGGTGGACTCCGCCATTTGGTAGCTTATAAGGGGATGAATTAAATTTACAGCACTTCCACGTCTGAGCAGGGATGTCTCCAGGAGACAAAGCACCAGCAATAGCTCCCTTGGGTTTTAGATCTGTTTGCTCTTTCTCTTCTCAAGGTCTGTCCAACCTGTTCCCCACCCTCTCCTGCATATTCTGCTTTACTGCCACTGCTGCTGCAGTTTTTAAAATCATCCATTCAGGAGCATTGTCTATACTGCACCACCCCACACACTTCCACTCCCTTTTCTACTATTTCATGGTTCCAGTCTTCCCTTGACATATGTTTGTTCCAATTGGTGACAAATGGCACCAAAACAATCCCCAAAACCAACAGGTCCTTTGGGTTTCCTTGTCCCTCCTGTCTCTTTTGACAATACTTTTTGATGCAGACTGAGGCCCATGGGCATTTGTGAAGCAAGTCTTGTGCAGCCATGCAAGGAATAAAGTAGAAAACAAGTCTGGGCCATGGCAGAAATATATCAGAGGCAAGGAAAGAATTTTGCTTTGTCCACCACTGTCCCCCTGCACCCCCAGCATCTCACCAGGGTTCTGTGCACTAACAAAAAATGCTGAGCCATGCAGCTGACAGCACTGTCTGCCTGCCCAGGGATGGTTCTCATCTGCTGTCCCCTCTTCCCACAGTACTTCGTGTTCGATTTCGTTGGACCACAGGTGCTGCTGTTTGACAAAATAATCAACATCTCTGTAAGTACCTAGGAAAGCTTAGCACAGTGAGTAAAGGCCATTGTTTTTGTGTCACTTCAACTCTAAATGATTCTTAATGTAGTTTAAAAGAAAAAAATTTAATACCAAGAGTGGTAGAAAGTCACCATGAAATATAGGAAAGAGGATAGAGAAGGAGTCAGCTGGCAGAAATTTGAAGGAATGTATCCAAAGGGAAGATTTAGTCTGCATTTTCAGGGACACTCAGTGCTGGTGCAGCAAGCTGCAAGGAAGAATGAGAAAATTCAGCTTAGGTCTCTCTTCTCACTGTCTTCATGCATCTAATTTTCAACCTGCCACTGGATTCAAATGACTAAGTTGAAACTTCTTATTTACATCAGATATAACTGTTTCTAACTAAATGAAGCTAAACTGATGCAGGCACTTTTCCTCAGCAAGGGCTCTCAGGCTGCCTGAGTGTCACTGGTTGGTTGCTATTAGCTTGGGAGTGCTCTCCAAGAGTTCAGTGCTGCTTCCACTACTCACTGCAACTCAAGTCCCAGTAAAACTACAGGGGGGCCTTATTGCTCTCTACAAATACCTGAAAGAAGGTTAGAGACAGGTGTGGCTTGGTCTCTTCTCCCGCGTAACAAGTGACAGGACATTCCAAGAGGAAATGGCCTCAAGTTGGACCAGGAGAAATTCAGACTGGATATTAGGAAAATTTCTTCACTGAAGGGGTAGAGAGGCATTGGAATAGACTGCCCAGCAAAGTGGTGGAATCACCATCCCCAGAGGGATTTAAAAAGCATGTGGATGTAGCAGCTGGGGACATGGTTTAGTGGTGGATTTGGCAATGCTGGGTTAATGATTGGGCTCTATCTTAAAGATCTTTTCCAACCTAAATGATCTAGTTTCTGTGACACCTCAGAACAGTCCTGATGGAAGACACATATGCTCTTGGGCTTGGACATTAAATAATGATGTGCAACTTGGAAGGCCAAGTCTATGGAGCCATGTTAATTATCTTGTCCAAAACTCATCACCACATATAGCAAATCTTCTAAGGAGTTAGAGATCTCATGAAACTCTGGACAGTGCTGTATTTGTATTATTTGGAAACTTCAACAGCTGTGCCATTCATGAACTCCTGATTTGTTAAAAGTTCATCCATTTTGTCAGAGATTTCTCTGGCAAATAAACAGTGTGTTGTTGCTCCAGGAAAAGTTATTTTTCTCTGAAGTGTTTTGTCCATTTCAGTAATGTACACCGGGAAAAATCTGTGCTGGTTGAGCTTGACAGAAACAAGCAGTGCTCAGGAGCTATAGGACACATCACTGTCTACTTCCTTTTCTGAGCTGCTAATAGAGTGACTTTTCCCAGCTCCAGAATAAAATGTGTTCATTTACACCTGAACAACTGGACAACTAGGTTTTCAGTGCTGGGAGTAAACTGACAGTTGGAATCCTAAAGTTCCATTAACATCCACTGTATCACACTCAGAGCTCACACACATGAAGTTCATAACTACATAAGGTATCTGTAGATCTATTCCCATCTGTGAGGACAGAATTTACTACAGGCTGACAATGGCATGGGAGTAGATATTACCTCACAGCTGTGACATATCACAGCCTGAGGCCCCACAGGTGTTTCAGACATGGTTCGTGTACCAGCACACTGCCAAGGCACCAGCTCCTGTGTGCTGCTGATGCTGTTGGGGATGTACAGCTGTTTTTCTCTGAGATATGGCAAATCTTTCCAATATCACATTCCTTTGATAAAGATTCCATATATCCAGTGGTGGAGGGGAAAGTGCCGGCTTTCTTCTGACTGCAATAGGGGTGTGGGAAAACGTCACCATTATCTGCTGTATATCTGCCCAGTTTCATCTGGCTCAGCAAACATTTTATTTATAGCTGATGAAGGTGCTACACTAAGAAATTAAAGATCTTCTAAGTAAAAATGACTTTAGGGAAAAGCTCAGCAACAACAATAAACTAACCTTGGGCAGTGTTCATGTATGCTACTGAAAACAGAGATTCATTACCTTGCAACACAGTTTTGGAGAAGGCAATCTCTCAGGGAAATAGAAACAAAGAGAGGAAATATGTGTGCTGGGAGTGAAGGAAACCCTGAGGGATGGAAAGTTTCACAGCACTTGCTTAGCAGGAATCTTAAGAAGAAACAAAGATTGGCAGCCTCTATTATGAACTTATCTGCATATGGAAACTCAAGGAAAACAAAATAGGTTAGTGTCCTTGTCTATCAGTTTAGTAGTTAGTGTAGCTGTATTCAAACCCTGCATTTGAGAGAAAAATGAGACATTCAGTTTCAAAGTACCTGTTAATTACTAGATTTTTTCTTCATTATTGTCTTCCTGTACATTTCAGCAAACTGGTAGTAATACCATAGTAAAACTAAGGTGACCCTTGTGTGCTAAACCTGTATCTCCCTTACTGAAATATTCCTCAGTGTAACACTATGCGTGTTTGTTCTCATTCAGAAAAACTCTACAGTCCTCTACAGTCAAGTGTGAAAAGACACAAATCTTTAATTAGATATGATGTGGATGTGATGCTCCCCCTCAGAGAAGACAAGAGGTGTTTGCTATAAAGTTCACGCTCACTTGCTTTGTTGCATTAGAAGAAAAATACACTTGGAAAAAAAAAATAAGATGAGAAAAGATGTAGAGTGTTTGATAGAAGCAGTGAGTTACTGCCTCAGCATTAAAAGCAACATGCACTGCAGGGAGTGGAAACCTGCATCGTTTCAGTGGAACAGGAGCATTTACATTTCACAAAGCAAATCTCAGGGACAGAGAAGTGAGTTTTACACGTTTAACATCTAACACTCTCTGAACAGCTGTCATGGAGAGGAAATGAGCAAAGAGCAGTGAGAGGGCATCACTTTGGACTCACCTCGTACTCTCACCTTGTTTTTGAGTCTTAAAGAAGCTTGTGGGTTTTTTTTTCCTTACAGAAAGGCTGCATCCTTCTTCCCCCTTTAATCTCTCCTAGCAGGATCTGCTGATTTGGGCATTCCCACGTACTTCTTCCAAAGCTGTAATATTGCCTGGCTTCAGGGAGAAACCCTACAGATTTCAAGGCTACTTCCCAGCCCTGTGTGTGCTCTAGTCCAGCCTCATAGGGGGGAAGGTCCAGTGCTATGATGGGACCTGACAGCACCAGGGATTGAGGAAAAGCAGCACTTGTGCACGCAGCACTAACTTCACACTAACTCATTTTCCACATGAAGGTTATTTAATTTTTCAGCTTAATAGTAAAGTAAAACTGCTCCTTTGGCCACGCTTGATTTTTCAGCTCTAGAAACCACTTCCATGTTGAAGTGAGGAATCATCAAGGACAGCTGAGTGTGTTCCCTAGGTCACAGTGGTCTTAATAGTAAAGTAAAACCGCTCCTTTGACCATGCTTGATTTTTTCAGCTCTAGAAACCACTTCCATGTTGAAGTGAGGAATCATCAAGGACAGCTGAGTGTGTTCCCTAGGTCACAGTGGCCATAGGCCCTGTCATGGATTGACCCTGGCACAATGCCAGTTCCCCCCTGAAAATACGCTTTCCCTAGTGGGTTCTGTGAGATGTGATCAGGAACAGAGCAAAGCAGGCTCCAACTTAGGAATAAAGGAAACAAACTTTATTAACTATAACATGTAAAAGGAACAGACACAAAACTAAGAACGAAAACCCTCCAAATACATTCTTCCTCCTCCCCCTTTTCCTCCACAGCATGAAATAACACCACAGATTTCCACACTGTCACCATCTCTCAGATAATCCACTTTTGAGTCCATCATCACCCCTCAAATAATCAACTCTCAAGTCCATCAGGAGGAGAGGAGTCCCCCCTTGCACCATAGGCTTCCCCCAGAAACACAGTTGAAACCTCTTGGTTTTCCACGTCACTCGTGGCACCGCCTGGAGAACATTTGCCCTCATGGAAGCACTTCTTCCTTCCATGTCCAGTGCTCTCACCACTGCACATGGACCAGGACTGCTTTTTATCGGCCCTCGTGACTTCCTCCCCCCCATGTCCAGTGCTCTCACCACTGCACATGGACCGGAACTGCTTTTAGGGTTCCCTTTTTAAGGATGCCCCGCCCAGTTCCAACAAAAGCAGCAGTCTCTCAACTTCGGGACACCAGTCCCCTCCAGATTTCACCCCCTGGGGCCGAGGGGCCTCGTGATCAGAGATCTTCCTCTCCAAGGAGACAGAGGACATCCCACACCCTCCTCAGGTGTCTCTGTTCTTGCCACTGCTTCACTGCACTCTCTTTGGCTCCAAGGCATTGCCTCCCCCTAAATGCAGTCTCTGTGTCACAGGAAAAACATGGGTCTGTCCATGGCCATACAAGAAAGAATCCAGCTCAAGGTCACTCCATCATCTCCTCCCACCTAGGATTCTTCTCACCTCTTTTAACATCTCTCACTTGTACTCACTTTCATGACACTTGCCCACTGCTTCATCTCTCTTCATTCAGATTCAGGAGGATCAGTATTTGTAAGGTTCTCATTATTCTAGAAAGGGGTTAAAATCTTCGCCTCTGTCTGCCCAGAACTTCCACAGCAGCCGGGCACCTTCTCTTGCCACATCCCCCATTTCTCCTTCTGGCCATGCTGCCAGTCCATGATATCGAATCTCAAGGCAGAACAGGCACTGGCTCTCTCTCTCTCTCTATCTCCCGGGGGAGACGAGAGGCCCTTAACAGGGAAGAACATTATATTGCAATTAGAAACTTCTTGAATTTTCTGGTGAATCTTGATGAAGGTGTCAGTTATCTTGGAAATGTATGTCTACTGTCCTTGAAAAGTGCAGAAAATAAAGTCACACGACCAATCCAGTGCAAAATTGCTTCTAAGACAAAAGAAGTCTTCCTATCCTGAAATATTCTTATCTACAATATGTAGGTCCAAAGAGAGAATATGATGGGTTCCAGACTCCTGAAATGCTGTTGCAGACCTGATTGTTTATTTCCAATATTTAGATTTAACTTCTGTAGACTTGAAAGAGCTTAGTTTCTCTTTGCAATTTGGGCAAGGTGTTCCAGAAAAATTTGGCCTCTTTCAGAGGCTTTTCCACAACCAAGGGATAGGTTTCAACTTTTTAAGCTATTCTGAAACCAAGTGAGACACATTTTTTGAGAAATACAGCTCTAGAACAAATCTTCCTTTAGATGAAGCCTCTGTCTTATCTATAAAGTGAACAACATGCAAGTATTTGAAAATGACATAGAAATACATAGGTCTGGGAATCATGGCAATTGAAAATTATTAATTAAATTTGAATTAAATTAAATTAAATTCATTACTTAGCAGGAAGAATACAGAGACAGACTCACTGGGGCCTGCTTGCCATCTAATTTACATCTATATCACTTGTCTGATTTCATTAATATCGTGGGGGGTTAGTTTAGAATTGAGTCTCTTGGTTTGTGTGTACATTAAATGTTGCCAAGAAACACATTCTTTCTCCTCTGAGCATACTCTGTTTTTATGGTAATTCAGCTATTGCACAGTGATAGGATTTCTGCAGCATAAAGTGAAACCAGTTAGGTCCCGTGTGTTTATATTCATTATGATTTAGCTAAACCTGCCAGGATAAGTAATATAACTGCACCTGCTCTGAAGGAGCAGGTGCTCTAATCTTGGTCTAATTCCTGCACTTTATCCCAGGGACCTGGGATGAACCTGTGTGATTCCACTCAGATGCAATTATATTGTTTTCTAAATTGGCACAATGTTGGGTAAAAAACATATTTGAAATGCTGGCTGTGTCTGTTGTGGCTATGTGCCCCCAGTTTTGGGTGGTGCTGGATGTGGCTGCTTATTGCCTCAAAACCAAATGTGATCTTGGGATGCTCTTTCCTAGGCTGTGAAGAGAGAGAGTGACATTCTTTAATCAGCTTTTTCTAACAGGTTATGCACAATAAACTGATTGGGAGTGTGCTGATAGGCTCCTTTAAAGTGGATCTGGGGACGGTGTACATTCAGCCAGGTGAGTAATTTTCTGCCCTTTTTGTCTGCTTTTCAGGCAGGGAAGGAGAGGGGAGGGAGATGTGCTGTTCTACTCAGGTGATTGTGGTTTACACCAACTTAAAGCTTTTGGAAGAGTTGTTTTCCTATTTGGATAGCAGAGTAACATCCAAACTGTTGGAAAGAAGTTCTACACTGAAAACACCTTGGCAATCTGCCCATTGGTGGGTAGCACTTTTCAAGGATGGCATTTCTTTAAGTGGTCAGAGTGGGCAGCTGAATATTCCGCAAAACCCAGCTGCACTCATTTGTTACAGAGCATCCAAAGCTCTTTCAAGTGTGTTGGGGTAGAAAGAATGGAGGGAGGGAGACCAGGATGAAGAGTGGAAGGAATGGTGAGGACAGCACAAGACAAGAGGAGAAGCAGGCCATAACAGGAGAGAGAAGATGACAAAGAGGTGGCCATGGATCCACTTGACTTGTCATCTTCAGAGCTGTTCAATGCTTTCTGACATTTGAACCTAAGAGAAGATGACCTACCTCTCTTTTGGTGTTTTTACAACCATCCATGAAACGTAATTTTTTCTCTTCCATATACTCAAGGACATGGTCTCTTCTTCCTCTTTGGGAAAGAACATATTTAGACCACTTGCTGTAGATGTCACACAGTTATAGCAAAAGTGTAGAGTCATTTGGGCCACCCTCTCTGCAGGGTTCCTGTAAGAGTCAGAGAGGAATGGCCTATCTGAAATGAGCAGTCTATGTCCATGCTCAGGCTGTGTGAATTCTGTCCTGTATCTCCTGTTCACACTTTAACAGGAGGGTGCTGTCTGAGGGCTGTTCTTGAGCTCATATCCCTGGTAATCTGTGGTCTGTCCTTCCCACTCCTTTACCCACCCAAGGTGATGTCCAATGACTTAATATGAGATCTTAGGACCTTTCTTGGTGGGGTTGTTGAAACACGGTTACAACAAGGACTGTTGTGGGTGAATAGTCTTGAATATTTTTCTCCTTGAAAGATGGAGCTGAACGTGCTTCTGGCTCATCCTTTTTCCTCTGATGGCTGTCCACTCTCCTTCCCTTTCTCAGCTGTCTGCCAACGTTACAGTGGCCACAGCACCCAGCAAGGGTTTTGCTGCTGGAGTTCTGAGATCTTCAGACAGTTCATCAAAGAGGTGGCCTTTCCTCAAAAAGACTCAGCCTTAGTTCAACTGCTAAAATCTCACCCAGGCTTCCACTGGTCTTTAGTCATTGATCTCAGTAAACAATGATGAAAATGAGCTTGTTTCTGACAAGCTCTGCATCAATCCTTTGCTTGCCTTCTTGATCACAAAATATTTTGGACCCTTTAGAAGTATCTGGTAAACAAGTAAATTTCAGCACAATCCTCCTGGCAGCACAAACTTTGTTTGATGTACCTTTTCTGTGAATGAAGAGAAAAATACTTGGATGTTTTTATATCCTCTATTTGAGTGTTTAAGCTTGTCCTTCTTACAGGTCATCAGTTTTGTGACAAGTGGGCACTTCTCACAGACCCTGCTGACATTAGGACAGGAGCCAAAGGGTACCTGAAGTGTGACCTCACTGTGATGGGGAAAGGTGATGCAATACAAGCTACACAGAAAACAGCTGATGCTGAGGAACAGATTGAAAAGTACTGCAATAATTTGTTTGGTTTGTTATTTTTTTAGCTGATTTCTTCCTTACTAGGTGCCTCAATAAGTCTCTGCCCTCATTTCAGTCCTTTCCTTGTTAACTCAGGGTTAATAGCAGGATGACACTGTACACCTGGTTGTTCTCACATGCTCAAAGAGAGTTTTTACAATCCTCTCATCTAAATTGAAGGGCACATTAGGGTTGCTTTTCTGCAGCTGATAGAATTGACCAAGTCCTGTTGGCTAAGTTCCAAATTACCCCTGACAGAAGATTCATTGATCTGAAACCAATGAATGATTTCCTAAAGCAGTGAAGCAAGAAGAAAAAAATTGAGGAAAGTCTTTCCTTCTCCACTCTCAAACATGAGTGTATGGATATTTCCACAGCCTTAGATAAACTCAAGCGTGTTATCATTCTCCTTATAAAATACAGAAGTTCAAGGTGGTAAATATGCTACCAGCATACTTTAAATTTTACTGAAGCAATGTTTCTGGCCAGTACTGAGATCCTGGATCAAGTCTGTGGAAAGTCACCAAGCTGATAAAGCACATGGTCTATGGGGAAAAGTGGTGGCTGTTGGTTTTCTGAGCCTAAAGGAGAGCACTCAAAGGGGCATTATACATGAGGAGGGAAGAGACAGGCTCTTTTCAGATGAGTGGCTCTTTTCAGTAGAAGGATGAGAGGCTTTAGAGGCAGGTAAGAGCAATGACATTTCAGAACAGATTGTTTTTTACCATGGACATGGTCAAACGAAACAGGGGCCCAAAGATAGTGGGAAATCTCTGTCCTTGAAAATATTCAGAATTTACTGAACAAGGTTCGGAGAACGATATCTGACTGGACCAGATTCTATATCACATAGAAAAGTTTGCTGAGTAATGCCATATTATTTTTTTGTGGTGAAAAGATTTTTTTTTTTTTTTGATCAGATGAAAAAGCAAATTCATATACCTTTTTGTGTCTTCTCAGGTGCATGCTAACCGAAGATCACAGTGCTGTTGGAAAAATATCACTTCATTGTCCATCTTTTTGTGGTGAAAAGATTTTTTTTTTGGATCAGATGAAAAAGCAAATTCATATACCTTTTTGTGTCTTCTCAGGTGCATGCTAACCGAAGATCACAGTGCTGTTGGAAAAATATCACTTCATTGTCCCAAGTTTTCATTTTTAAGAACACAGCTTCTCTTTTCCTTTCAGGAATCTCTTGATCCCCAAAGGCTTTCCGTCTGAAAGACCATGGGCCAGATTTTATGTGAGAATTTACAAAGCAGAAGGACTTCCAAAGATGAACTCTAGCATCATGGCCAATGTCACCAAAGCATTCGTAGGCGACAGTAAGGACCTTGTGGATCCCTATGTGGTGGTCATGTTTGCAGGTCAAATGGTAATTGGGATCCTCTTGATCACAAAAGTAGGCCTTATTTCCTATTACCTGTGCTACAGGCAGGTGATTATGCTGATGTCCTTACCTTACAGTTACATAAATTAGGTAAAACATGTATCTTGGTCATCAGAAAATGTTCCGTTCTTAAATTATGCAGAAATAAAGTCATGGACACACTTAATGCCAGCAGATCTAATATCAGGCTCACAGCAGTAGGTTAGAGGCAGGCAGCAGGAAGGAAAAGAGAATTCTGTAGCACTGTTACTAAAACACTGAGTTACAAGACAGTGATTTACTCAGCATGGTATTAGGTAAGAGCTATGTTCTGGTCTCCCTTGAGTGAAATAAGGGAGCAGGGCTGAAATCAGTGAGTGTGGTTCAATCAGGGTTTTAGGGCTATGTATTGATTTCTGAATTACTCAGCTGAAATTCAGGACCCTCTCAGCTTTCCTGTGTAGAGTAAGCATTTTAGCAGGCTGGCAGTGTTGCCTGGCTTCATTGCTCCTAGGGCAACTTCAGCATCAAACATGCTGTGACAGATTACTGCTTAGAGAAGCTTCTGACTCTGGTGGAAGAGGAATGCAGAGGAGGTGCAAGGCCTGCTTCTCCTGGGGCACACCATGAAACCCTGTGTCAGAGAGCCTGTCTTGATTATCAGCGTAAATAAAGAAAGGATCAAAATGGAAACTATTTTAAGCCAGCAATGCTTTCTGTATGCAAGGAAGCCTTATGGACAGCTCCAGATAGTCCTTTTTAGATGTTTCAGGCATGGGAATGAGGCTCTTGGTGCTGATTGCATGTTCAGCCATGAATGCAAATTGCAAAGTACTACTGTGGTTTAAAACAGGCAAATGCATGGAACACCTTCAGGTTCAATAGAGGGCTGAAGAAGACAAAAATGGGTCACTGATGTGAGTTTGCACACTGGTGTGCAAAATATGGTTTTGTAGAGAGGTTTGGTGGGTTTTCTGACTCAGTTCTTTTACTTAATGTGAAAACAGCCACAGCCAGTGACTGTACAGACTGTGACACAGTCCTGCCATCTCTTGTTTGGAGGAATAGCTCCAGGACCTACCCCTCTTCCACACAGGCATTTGCCCAGAACATGAACCACAATAATCATATTTGATGCTAGATAAATTGCCTCATTTAAGGTAATCCCATTGGTACACACAGCCTGGAATCTGTAATGAATTCAGTCTTTTATGAGAAAAACTATGCTGCATCACCACTACTCAGATATTTCAAAACACATTTGAAGGTGTGCAGTTTGTAGCAGAAATGCCAAAGTCTGGCTTTACAGATGCATTTTGTGGACAAGGGCCCTGAAGTATTAGATTTTATTCCAGGCTCTGCTATGTGCATGTGTGAATTCTTTAGCCATACTGTGGTCTTTTATTAGATATGGAGTGCAAAATGAAGAAGCTAATAGAAAGGCCAAAGTACTTTCAAGATAGCATATTTGTGCTTTAAAAATGGCCAGAGAGGTGCTGCTAAGTGCAATTTCTGCTGTACTCATTGCCACTCTCCAGAGTTCAGTCCCTCTGGAATTAAATTCACTGGACTTTAATTTCAGGGCCGGACAACAGTGCAAAAGAACTGTGCAGATCCTGTGTGGCATGAGCAGATTATCTTCAAAGAAATGTTCCCTCCGCTCTGTCGAAGAGTCAAAATCCAGGTCTGGGATGAAGGCAGCATGAACGATGTGGCCTTAGCCACCCACTTCATTGATTTGAAGAAAATATCAAATGAACAAGATGGTGACAAAGGTAAAGGGGAAAATGTCTGTTCCAGGATATAACCTTAAGGTAAAACCTACTTGCATGGGATCTTGCCACTGGCTAATCTTGTCAAGAGTTCAAGAGTTCGTTCTGAGACACCTTCTGTTGCTTAATTTCACATTTATTTCTCTGGCTAATCCTAATTTAGGGTTGTCAAGAGTTCAAGAGTTGGTTCTGAGACACCTTCTGTTGCTTAATTTCACATTATATTTCATTGTGTTCATGCATGGAGGGTCTGACATTGTTGTTCTCGTTAAAGGGCTACTGCATAATTTGTTACCATCTGTGTGGCTGTGGCAATAGTCTAATCCACTGGGAATGACAGATGTAAGTTTATAGTTCATGTGAGTTTCTATTAAGCAATAAAGCCACAAACTGAAAATCACTAAAAATCAAAGGCAGGGCAGGCTTGTGTTTTGGATCTACCCACTGGAAGCAAAGTGTTTAGGTAAGGCTCAGATGGGTGCTATCACAGCCCAGGGAGGCACCATGGACTAGTGTGTTATGCTCTGTTTGAGGGGAGACTCTCTATCTGTAGTCTTTTCACTGATGTTTGAGCTACCTGTATAGTCTTATTTATCTTGTGTGACCTGTATGTGGAACATGGTCAGTTATCACAGCTCAGTGAAGGCACAGTAACTCCTTAAACCTGCCAATTCAAATGTGTATCTCAGTCCTTAATCAGAAAATAAAAGAAAAATTTATATAAATTGAGTGACACAGAGTTGAAACAGTTTGACTTACAGGAGAAAGCCTCTATCCTCTCCCATCATGTCCCAGTCTTTAGTCTGCAGCAGCAAGCTCTTTTTTCAAGAGATGCAATAGTCCTCCTGCCCATCGTCTTCTGAGAAAGAGTTCCAACCCAGCAGAGTTGTTTGGGTATTGGCAGAGGTCCCTTGGTGTCTAAGAATTGCCCTGCAAAGCAGTGCTCTCTGTGAAGTAATTCCCCACTGCCCAGAAATGGGTCCAGGTTTGGCTTTTGGGGCATTAGAGGCAAGATTTCTTGGAGCAGACAATGAGGAGAACACACGAATACCCAACAGAAAAGCCACAAAAGGTACTTTATCTCCAGGGTTTTTGCCTACCTTTGGGCCTGCCTGGATCAATCTCTATGGCTCACCCAGGAACCACAGCCTCATTGATGACCACCAGGAGCTTAATGAAGGTTTTGGAGAAGGGGTCTCCTTCAGAGGACGTCTCTTCCTTGAGATTGCTGTGGAGATACTTTCAGGAGGAGCTCGTGAGTCGAAGTTTTCAAGCATTATCAAGGATATAAAATTGTCATCTAAAGATAAAGCACTCAAAGGAAAAGACAAAACTGACAAAGCAGGAGAGGACCGAAAGTCAGCTTCTCCTTCAGACAAGATGAACTCAACTGAAGTGGAAGTTGAGCCATTTGATGTACCTTTAGAGGTCAGTATGCTATGAAGAGATTGGTTGTCATGTATCTCTCAACCTCCAAGCATGGCACTGGTGTGTGTATTTGGGGTCAGGCCATATAATACTGCTGTTTGTGCTCCCTACATTTTCTCCATGCTTTCACAGTCCTGGGACCTCCCCACAATAATATATCACAAATGGAATATTAATATGTACCTGTAACTCAAAAACCTCTCAAGTAGGATTTGGTGTTCATAAAATTTAGTCTCCTGTCATATAAATCTTTTTGCACTAGCTGCATCCACAAGTTCCTACTAGAAACTTATCTGCCATAGTATCTGCTAATGGACAGAGAACCTGTGTGGACAGCTGGGAATTACAAAGCCTGATTCCTGCATTCATTCAAGAAAATCTGGAGTTGTAATCAAAGTCAATAGAGAATCTTTGACATAAAATCTGTGCAAATGCAGAGAGACAGATACATTCTAGCCTGATTTAGTCTCTTCCTTTACTACTGCATTGCCAGTGTGGTGCTAGTGTTAGGTTGATAATCCCTTTAGATGAAGAGCTGAAAATCATGTGCTCAGTTTCAACCAGTGTTAACTGATGTTGTTTGCCTAATTCCAGCTGTTGTATAGGATTACATCATGGGAAAATCTGCACTGTGGTGCTTTGAGAAGGTTGGGCAGTTGTGGCAGGGTGTGTGAGCTTTGGAGCTGAGCCAATGTTTGAGCTTTAATTCTCAGCTCCACCACATCACTCTCTGGGAGCAGCAGCAATTACTGTGTATGCAAGCTTATTTATTTTTACACAATAAATAGGAAAAAATATTCTCATAACCAATTTTCCTCCTAATTCACTATATCTACTACAACTACCTGACAGAAGATTGTGGTGAGAGGGGTGGGGGGTTGGCCTCCTCTCCCAGTCAACTAGAAATAGGACAAGGAGAAATGGCCATGAGTTGTACCAGGGGAGGTTCAGGTTGAATATCAGGAAAAATGTGTTCACTGAGAAAGTGGTTAAGCTTTGGAACAGGTTTCCCAGGGAAGTGGTGGAGTCACCATTACAGGAAATGTTCAAAAAATGAATAGATGTGGTGTTTTGTGACATAGTTTAATGGGCACATTCAGTCAAATTTGGACTTAATGATCTCGGAGGTCTTTTTCAGTCTTGATGATTCTGTGATTCTATGTCATTGATCAAAATTCTGTCTTTTGTAGTGGGAGTTCCAGCTCACTTCTTAAGATATTTTTGTCCTTTATTAGCTCTGATTCTTGGTCTTTCCACTCCATCTCTACAAGTAACTAGAAGAGGAGCAATTGTTCTTTGCTTTTGAGGCCTAGCCTTGAGAAGTGCCCTTCCTTGACCTTGGCATTTCTGGCCTGAGGGCTGGCTGGGGTGGGTCAATGAGTGTGTGAGCATTGGTAATTGCTAGCCAGTTGGGTGAACTTGTGCTCTGCTGTTGTTTTATTTACTCACATAGTTGTAAATTACCTCTGTGTCTCAGTTCTTCTCTGAAGACTAATAGAGATGACATTAAAGACACTTATTTTCATATAAATTTTCCTTTATATGCAAGAAATCCATTATTATGAGTAGCTCAGACACTATTCTTAGGCCTGGCTAAATAAAAATACAGCAGGGAAATAAACCCTGCTGTAACACCCACCAATAAAAATTAATAGTAATAATAAGAATTCATTTCCAGCTGCTGTTTCTCAGTTTCAAATAAAGAATACATAAAAGGAATAGCATGATACAGTAATGCTTGATATTCTTTTAGTTTTGACATTCAGCAATAGTTTGTGCTCCAGTAGACAGTAATTGTATTACCACTCTTTGAAAGGAAAAGAAGGAACTGGAGACATTACCAATAATGCAAAAAATGTCTCATAGAGCCTCTGAGACAACAGCGGCAAATTCTCCATACCCACAGCACAACTTTATTGACCTATTCTGACAGCAAGAAGATATTAAAATTTGTTTTCTTTATAATGGGAGATAGATGCATGTGTCATAGTCTCTGAGCCTTGGCTTTATTAGGGTTTCATCTGGACAAGTATAAAAAGCTAAAGTTACTCTGGAGCTGCAATCTGAGCTGCTGACTTTGATATATGATGTTGCTAATCCTTTCACTGAAGACCTATGATATTTTGCTGTGTATAACACAGGTTTTTCAAAATGAAAAGATCATGGGCTGTGTCAAAAACTGTTCCTACTTTGCAGAAGTCAGGGAAACAAATATTCATGTAGAGCTGATGTTTTATTCATTGCCTCCCTCACATTGCAGAAGAATTAGGGCTGACCTTGCCTAATGGGCCTCAGTTTGCAGGTGTTGTGAAATGAGAAAGATTTGGACAGGAAAAGCACAACAGTTGGGGTTTCGGGAGAACTCAAACCATGAAATATATCTCCTTTGAACTTAGTCTTGGCTTGGGGTTAAAACCTTTTTTTGTTAATGATCCAAGAGCATCAGAAATGTTAGCTGGCCCTCCTTGACTGAGAGTCTGTGCCAGGGACAAGCAGATGCTGAGTCTCCAATAGGTGTAAACAGAGCCCAACAGAGCCTTAAAACTCAACAAAAGACCGCTGCACTTCTTTATGCTGTAAAAATAGTAGAAGATAAAATAAATGCCAACATTTTCCTCCTTCTTCCAACAGATCTATGAAGAAAAAATTGAAGAATTCCTTCTCTTTGGGACATTTTTTGAAACCACAATGATTGATAGGAAGTTTGGGGACAGGCCAATAACCTTTGAAGTTTCTGTTGGTGAGTGTGTTACAAGTCTTATCCAAAGGAGAGAGGCAGCCTCAGGAGCAAGGGAATGATAGGTGTTACTGACTGATGTGTCTCAGGGCTCAGGAATCAGCTTCAGAGTAGAGCTTCTATTTGAGTTAACCCTGATTATAATTTCTCTGGATGAAAGTCAAGCTGAACATACTGATGCCTATCTGTCTCACTCCTCAAATGCCCTGTCTTAATGCAAATCCTCTCCCCCAATATATACAGCAACTTACCAGCATTAACCCTTTTAATCACTTGGGATATCAAACTCAGATAATTGACTTCAGGCACAGTTCATTCTGTGATGTCCATTTTGATAAGTTCCTGGCTGTGAGGGAGCCCTTTGTGGGGGATGATCCCCATCCATTGTCTTGGCCAACCCCAGTGAGTTACCTGTGGGTCCGTGAGTGTGGCAGGGGGTGAGCTACTGCCAAGACTCAAGTTGTAGGCACCACCTTGTTCTAACATCCTCCTGGTAAGTCCTTTCCTCTTTCAGGGGAAAGCAGGACCATACTCCATGAGCTCCTCATTGTGGAGCAAAATTATCCCTTGAAGCAGACAAAGGGGAAATGAAGATATTTTCATGAACATTTTCAAAGCAGAAGAACTTTCTCTTAAGAGTGAAGCTTGAATTGGTCTCATTTCCCTTGCAGGGATTTGATTCTCTCCACACCAGACCCACCAAGGGTCCTCGTGCACAGTGGCACTTCCAGGCGTTGTGCTCATGTCCATGATTGTGCTCAGCTAAAGGGGGGCTATGTGTGCAGGGAGAGATGCTGTGAAAAACAGGGGAATCAATGAGTGATGCTGACTCCTGCTGAAGCTTAGCAAGAAGCTGAGCTGAGAATGACAAGAAACTCATTTAAATCATTGGGCAAGGAATTATAGTGATTCTTGTCAGAATTAATACTAAAGATGAATCTGGCCCTGAATTCTGGACCTGAACATCTCTTAGCCATCTGTGTAGCTGAAATTTGGACCCAAACTTGGCCAATTGTCATTATTTACACGAAAGGCTGAACCAAAAACCAGATCAGGATGTCATATGGGGTGATTCAGCACATTCTTTTCCTGCAGGGAATGTTTTCTGTCTGTCTCTTTTAAAATCTGTAATTATCAGTTTGATGGATGTACCTCTTTCCCAGAGCTGATAATTGCCCTTTAAGGCAAAATCCTTTTAGGGAAGATGATTGTATCATTAGCAGAGCTGTCTGGCATTAGGCTTGAAGCTGAGGTCTCAAAGCATTGTTATTACTAACTCTGCAACCCTAATGTGCAAAATTTACTTGTCTGAAAAAGAGTTTATCACTTTTGAGATCAAACTTTGAAATGATCCTCCATATGTTATGAAGAAGATATTTTCTGTGTGAATTAATCCCATATCAGGGCTCCTGAGTATAGAAATATCAACAGCAGTATTGTTTTGGTTTCTATATTTCTTTACCACAAGCTGAAGGTCCTGGGTGCCAGCAATCAGAGACTCACATCACAAGCAATGTGATATGCTAGGTATATGTCACATGGGACAGGCAAGGAAGCACTGTTCTAGAGCCTGACATTCCAGAGACAAACATAACCTGTCACAACCTTTATAAACTGTGGTGTGGTCAAAACAGAATGAACCAGAGGGGACAAAGATTTTCCACAGCTATGACTGGCCATTTTCTCTTTTTAAAATCTCATTCATGTTTACCAACTTCTGTAACCCTGGGTCTCTAGGTAACTTTGGAAGTAGTACTGATGGAGTGTCAGCAGGAGCTGGAGGGAAAAAGAAGACCCATAATGGAGAAGCAGAAGAAAGCCTTCTGCATGAGGGTGAAGATGACATTTCTCAGGACCTTGGAATACCCCTGGTATCTACCACACCCCCTGAGAAACCCCTGATCACAGGGGGGAACAGGTGAGGATCTGTGTTTCAAAACCTCATCATGTAGGACTCTGGTTCTTATTTTATTATCCTGTGGGACTCATGGATGAACCCAGGCAGCATTAAAAAATTTGTGTGAAATGGAGGCTTTCAGGTCCTCAACTGCATCTTTCACAACAGTAAATTTTTTTGTCTTCACTGAAGTGAACAGGCTCTGAGCTATTTTATATGCATCTAATCCTGGCCTCATGGGCTCTTGAATCCTTTCTGAAAGTGTTGTGTGTTACATCAGCTGTACATTGGAAAGCTACAGCAAAATGCAACTTCTTCAGTGCCATCCCTGGTTTAGGGTCCCACACCGTGATCACAAGTAACACCCAGCCAGTGTCCAGCTCCAGAAGCACAATGTCACATGTGAAACATTGAAATCTGGTCAAGGCAAAGTCACCTTCCCAGAACACTTTCTAGAGCTAATAATTACAGATACAGACTTAAATAGCATGTAATAACTGAGGTAGGAGGAAATAGGCTTTGAGAAAAGAAAATAAGACTTCTAAAGCAATGGATGAAAACATGCAGAACAGTTCTTCTAAATAACCTTGTTTATAAACAGAATTGTAAAGGTTTAATTCATTTGAAAAGTGAATAAAAGAAATAAAATAATAAAAAGAAATACTTTCTTTGTTGCTTTGGTAGGTAGAACAATCCCCAATACTGGTGACTGCCAAGACTAGATGGCACTTCTTCCTTTAGAAGGCCAAGCAGCCTACAGATATAAGGACGGGAGGAAAATATTGACCTGGATCTGTTTGGTTTCTGGATGTGTCTAAATTTAAAAAGCACTTTCATTCTTTTCTGCAACCAATGGCTCACTTAGATAAAATAGGAGTTAGTGAAAGAAAACGAGAATAAAAATATCATGGTAAAAAATTCTGGTTTTGCAACAAGTAAAAAAAGAGAGGAGAAAAGCACTTTCTATCAGTGCGTGATAGAACTGCAAATTTGGGTGCATGCAGAGGGTTATTATCTTCCCTGAGAGAAGCTGGGATTTTTTCATTTTCCCTTAACAAGAATTTAGATTTAAAGAACCATTGTAACAGAATGAATCACTCTTCAAATCAGCTATTTGCTTCTTGACTTGCTCCAGTATTAATAAAGTTTTCTCTCATTAAAGATCCCATTTCCTCAAATTTATGTAGAATGCTGCATCTTTTATTTCCTCCTGTGGTATTTAAAACAGTTTGGTCAGCCACAGATATCAATTAATGAGTTTTTCAGTCTTCTCATAATGATGTCTTGGTGGTCTCACCACTGGATATTTTTAGTATTAATAAGCACTTAATGGGATATCCAGTACTTTAGATAAACTGCATTTCAGATTCATAAATGAACAATGGAAAACAAAAAGAAGAGTATATTTTGGAGATTAAAACCACTAACTAACTAAAGGAACAGACAGAGCAATAAGACTTCTAAAGCAGACACCATGAAACTCCCAGGAGTTTTCCACACTTATGTCAAAACTTAAACTAAGGATAAGCTAAACCTGAAAAAGCAATTCCTCAAAATTGTAATAATGAGAATAATATACATGAATTTTCAGTTTTACATGTGAATTTTTTCACAGCTATATATACTCTTCTTAGTAAATCCAATGAAAATTCATAAGCTCTATGAATTTCAGGTTAAGAAGTTCAGGCCCTGAGAGATGGTTGAATTGATTTTCTCTTCTCTGAAAGCACCAGAATTAATGACACCCAAGGCCTGTGTAGTTCTGCTGTGCACAAAATTCAATGGGTAATCCTCACCTTGTTGTAGGTTATTGAGGAGAAAGTAAGTGGAAAATTCAATATTGATATCACATAGCGCAGTAAAATGACCTTATAGGGAAGACACTTATCTTTTTAAATGGAAAAAAAATCACACATAAACCTCTTTGGGATGTGTGGAAGTTTGGAGTCATTGATATGACACTCAAGAGCAAAAAGTGATTTGGTTTCCATGGTCTTGGATTGGTGATCTAACACGTGGCCAGTTCTATCTGAAATCACAGAGACGATCTGAGGCCATTAGAACCATGGCCAGAGGAACATGAAGTGGTTTGCAAATGTTCATACACATTAAAAAGTTCTCCACTGTCCCACCATTGGTATGGAAAATGAGGAGACCTCTAAATCCAGTGTGGCTGAGCAATGAAGTTTCATAAGGCTCTAGTATTTATATAAAGAAGGACAATGCGCTTATCAGGTACATGGACTTGGCATGGTACCTACTGCAGATCTAATCAAAACATCAGCTTTGTGGAGGTCTCAGAGACTCTGGGTATGCTGGCCTCCTGCTCATTTTTTTCAGTGCAAATCACTCATGCAGCTGAACACACAAAGAAAGCAGAGATACAAGAGTCAATATGACACCTTGGACTTAAGATCAAAAGTGTGAGAAGAGAGAGCAGTGGATGCATTTTATCACTGAGTTATTATGAGCTTGGTATTGCTTTTACTAAGCAGGCCTTGCAGATCAGTTTCTGACAGGGAATGTCAGTCTCCACAAACTCTGAAAAAGATCATCTTGTTAAAGGAGTGTGGTGTTGAGACTGCCATGGCTCTCCCACTGTGCAATGCGTGGAACCATTGCTTTTGAAGATGTGATCAGATATTAATCTTTGTTCCTTTTTTCACCATTAATAGTATTTCAGAGCTTCCCTGCATGCCTTTTTGTTTGGCTTTTCTCCCACCCTGGAAAGCACTGAAATGAGATCCACTGACATCAAATTGTTTCTCTTCAAGGATCTAACTAGTAGCATAATTGATGTTTGCGTTTGCCCTTCCCAGGGTTTACTTGCTAGCACATGAGAACACATCCTATTGTGCCTACAGTTTCTATGATGTGAGAGCACCAAACAACTTTTCTTTGCTCTGTGTCCCTTTGACCTGCTCTGTCACCTTCATGATCTGCTCCCTACCTTGTTTCCACAGGAACTACCAGTACCTGCCATATGATGAGAGGAAGCCATGTATCTGCATAAAGAGCTACTGGGGCAACCAGACATTTCGGCTGTACTCTTCCAACACTCTTGAGAAAATGGCAGATCACCTGGTAGGTGACAACCATCCTCCCAGACTCGTGTATTCAGCCAACTATAGCAGTGAGAGGCCACACTTCCCAAATCAGACCTTCAAAATTTCCCCCAGCTGCATTTCATGTTGTTCATTTTGTGAGAAAGCAGTTGATATAAACCCTTTCCTTTTTATTTCCCCCAAATTGCTTTGAACTATTAGAGCTGCTCAAGTATTCCTGACCACAACAATTATTTTTGGCCTTAGGTCTGCTTTCTTTCCTCAACAATGTTTTATTCTTTGAAAAATATTCAAATAATTAAATTATGAGATTCAGAGTAATTTTGTCTCCTATGGCTCATCCTCTAATGTCTTCTTGCCTTATATTTATATAAGGCACTCCTTATACTGGGCACTCCTAAAAGGACAATATTTGCTCTTAGTTTTCCTAAAACATTGACAGAGACAGAATGGCATGTCATCTCATGGGCAGTCACTCTGATGTCCCAGTCACTGTGTTTTCCCATAATGATGGTTTCATTCTACCTTTGTTTAAAGTTGACTATCAACAGTCTCAAGAAAGTAGGTTTTGTTGTTTGTTGGGGTTTTTTTAAGTGACTCCTAATGTTGAATATTTTAATGTGGGGCTCTCGGATTAAGAGTCTGGTTCATCCCTCATTTATCTATATATATCTCACGAGGAACAGCACCGAAGTCATACTTATGCAAGGTTGTATCAGGAGAAGAAAATTACTTACAACCAAACATTTTAAACTCAGGTATCTGAATATTAAACATCTGAATATACGAATGTGGAGAGATAATGTTTGTCAGTGCACCCCAACACCCACAGGCCTTACTGAAAATCCAGATATTTATTTTAGCTTTCAACAACAGACTCCATTCCCCATGGATAACAGTAGGTTTTGTGATGGACCTCACATATGGATTCAAGTGACCACTGAATTTTAAGATGCTAAGTCCAGCAACTTGCTAAAGTTAAGCAGCAGGATTAGAAACATAACCAAGAAGAAAGAACTATTTTTTTTCTCCTACCTAGTGGATAATGTTTCCAAATTATTGATCTTCCTCAAAGAACTAAGAACACAAAGTTGCTCCAAGCAGTAATAGCTTGGACAAGTAATTGGGAAGACTGGGAAAAGGTCAAAATATATCATGCTGCTGGAGTCTTTTCTCTTCAAGTATAGTGCACTTCAAGTATAGTGATATATCAAAGGTTCTTTCTGTCAGGCCACAAAATCACCTCCCTCATTCTTGCTAGTCATAAATGGCACTGTAACACCAACAGAATGACAAAGTGCCCTCCTGTGCATAATGGCTTTCTCATGCGTTTTTCATAGGAAGAATCATTAGAGCAAGTAAAGGACTTGATCAAGGTTTCAGAGACTGCAGCTGAGGAGAAAATGAAGAAGACCCTAAATGGTTTTATCAATCAAAGCAGGTAATAACCTTTACTAGATGCATGCAGAAAATTAAATTTAATATTGGCTACAAATTAAAGGCTAGACAACTAAAGTGATGATAATTTTAAAAAAATACAGTAAACTTACTGAGCTATATATTTTATTTATTTTGCTGTAAAAGCAAAGACCTTCCCAAATTGCAGTTTCTATTTAGACAGAGAAAATATTTATTGCTATTTTCCATATTCAGTATTGACAATAGATGACTGCCAATCATTGTCATATTGTTTTGGCTTTCAGAACCCTAAGAATACATTGTATAGGTGATAAGTAGGATTTAATAAAGTGTGTGATAGATACACTGTAAAAAAAACCAACCACAGTTAATATAAAAAAAAGGATGCCACATATTGGTATAGATCCAGTGGACTCTGTATCAAATTACACAACTGGGCTCAAAAGAGATATAAACCCTTATTTCTAGATACTATTAATCCATTTCTGGGAAGTGTGGTGCAGAGGTTTTGGACTTTTTGCCTTTAATCTTATAGGTACATAATGTTTTAGAGATTTTCAGCACCTTTGTCTTCTGGTTCATGTGCTGCAGCAGACACAGAACATTCCAATGTATTTTAGCACATTAGTATTCTCACATTAAAAAAACCAACAGATTTAAAACCCCTGTTATTCCTGTGTCCTAGGGCATTCATGGTCATTGCTGAAAAGAAGCCCAAAGGGTTGAACTGCACTGCTTTGGACAAAAAGAGGCTCATGCTGTTCAAGCAAGAGCTGGTACGTGCTGTTCTTTTCCTGTAAGCATTGATGCAATGATGATTCCTAAATGCACACTGTTTTTTGGGGTTGTTTTTCCTATTTTATTTTCTATTTGATTGCATCATATGGGAATACTTTGTAATACATATGAATATAGTATCCATGAGCATTTATTTCAATAAATCCCACTGTGCTTAATAAAGTCGTCAGATACACTAAAATGAAGATGTTGTTTTTAAATACCAATAAGGCATTATAATAATGAGATTATTTTTCCTGTCCATGCATCTTAAATGGAATGATGCTGAGTTGAGGGGAAAAGCACCAAATTTACACTGCTGTCAGGTGTCTCACTACTGTGGTGGTGCTGAATTTCAAGACTAGTGAAGTCTAGCCTTTGTAAGGACCTTAGGAGGAGGACCTTACTGGACCTAGTAATCTCCTCCAGGGAACCAGTGAGAAGAAACCAAACTGGGCGGAGGTCATCGGAATATTTATTACCTTTTTTTACTGTTTGTTACTTGTAGTGTTACTTTTGTAGCACAAAAGATTGAGCCTTTTGTCTGGATCAAGGTCCAGTAATTCCAGGTGACAATCACATGTTTTTTGGGACTTCCATACATGCAGCATACAAAGACAAAATGGGGGACATTCAGTTTTTATATTGTCCAGTTCCAAAAAGTTGATTTGTTTCTGTTGTGACAAAGAAACATTGAACAAAGTGTCTCCCATCTTCTCTTTTCAACTTGAATCAAAGACTGTTTCTCTTCCACTTCAGACTACTTGATAACAGATGAAAAGTATATATTGTCTTTCCTCACTGCAGGAAGCAATGTCCAGTGATGCTAAGGGAATCATTCAGCAGCAGAAAAAGAAGATGTCAGTGGATGAAATGATTCGTGAGACTCAGAGCTTTATAGATAAAATCCGATTCTTGGTTGATGAGGTAAGCCACAGAGAATTCAGAAAAAATTGATTTTCATAATCTCATGTGAATTATAACTTCTGACTTGGTTATCCAAAGAGTTCTCCTTCAGATATCTGGACCTTATTCTCTTTAGCATTAAATTAAATTCAGCTGTTATCAAACCAGGGTAGAAAATATTGGGCTGTGTGGTATGGAGAAGATGCACCACAGATACATATATTTTTAATAAGGTCATCCCATACCTGGTGGCTTGAAGCAGCCAGCTTTCTGATATGAAGTGTCACCACTTGTATGGACACCTGAATGGATTTGTACTGATATGAGCTTGGGATGCCTATATCATTTAGCCTGAGAATAACAGAAAATTTTATATATTTGTTTGGGCAAAAGTCCAGCCACTGGAAAGCTGTGCCTCTGAGAGCTGCCTGTGCTAGCAAACCAAAGAGGGCCATGGCTATTCCCTGGCACAGAGAGCAAGTGGCACAGTGGCATGGTTTGCATCCTACAAAAAAATTCTCTTCCTTCCTAAAACAGAGTGACCCTGCTTACAGTTCCTTCAGGGAACAGCCCCTTGGCTGGTCTTTTTCAAACCACACTGGAGGTTTGTTTGGGGAACATTATCTGGGAGAGGGCAAGGCAGTCTCACTGAGCATTGTCATAAGCAGAAAAGATGATTATATGCCAGTGTTTGAGCTTGGTCCGGATCCTTTTTAGTTTGCTGGTATAGATGAAATTGGTGGTATTTCCATGGTAGTTCCTTCCATGGTCTGTGGTTAAGTTATTTGCTGGGACAGAGCCATACTCAGATTCTTAATTTTAGTTTCTCCTTAAATTACTTATGAAGTAATCCTGAATCACTCTATAAAGCTCTTTACCTTCAGCTGTAATTAGAAATTGAGGTATGGACTGCAGAGCATGAAGTGACAGCCTCATTTAATTCAGAGGCATATCTGCCATTCCACAGGAGCCATGAGGGCATCAGCTCTTACTCTTAGTAATAGTGTTTCAACAAAAATATGATGGTGGTGGCTCATAGAAAGAATTCAGTTTTAGTTCAATATGCCTCATTTAACAGCCACAGAATACAGTGCCTGACGTGTTCATCTGGATGATCAGCAACAACAAAAGAGTTGCATATGCAAGAGTCCCAGCAAAAACCATACTCTACTCCCCAGCAAAAGAGCAGAGAGGCAAGGACTGTGGGAAGATTAAAACTCATTTCCTGAAAGTAAGTCTGTGGCACACTGCAAACACAAGTAATGCCTGCGGAGCATTTGGTATTCAGATTTCTTCCAGTGATAGTATTTTACAGATTAATCTTTGTAATGTAAAAATATTTGTATCCACCATTTATTAATATTTGCTTCCTACATTTATGCTTGTAATTTTTTAATCACTCTATCATTGCCAGGCTTTTGATGTATGAGTAATTAATTTCCTCACTACTTGTTATGGCAAGTATAGAACATTGTTCATCAATGGCTGTATACATAAACATATAGAAAAGGTACAGCCTCTTTGCTGACAAAAATATCCAAATGGAGCACATGAAAGCCTGTGAGGAGACTGGTGAGAGAGCAGCACTCAGCAACTCAGTGAGGAAACCTAGGTATTCAGCGTAATACAGGAATTATTTATACTTTCTATTTAAAACATGCTGAAGTTTGCAGATTATATGTCCAAAATACTGTTATGGGAATATTCGTGATAAAGGAAAGCCCTAGTGGGTATAAGCCTACAGAGGCAGTGTGACCAGTAGTACCTAGAGTGGAATATTGTGCAATGTAATTGTTTCTGTGTCCATCACGAAAAACCCAAATACTCCAGACAACATAACGAGTTTTTAGTGGGTTTTCACCTTGGACTTCTGAGAATGCTCCCATAAAACAGAGCTAAAGAGCAGATAAAAACATCTAAGACCCAGAGATACTTGCCAAGGTACTTGCTAAGCAAAGTACTATTTGCCTGCATGAAATAAAATATTCTGCAATTAACTATCCAGGCCCTTCAGTATCAAGAATTACCTTAGGGACAGACAATACCTAAACTCTGAACTTAGCAGATATAAATGAAGTGGGAAGTAAGAAAAAGGTCAAGACTAGTAACATTTTGTTTTCTGACCTGTCCAATAGCATAATATTTTTAGTAATACATGGAACTAACTACTGGATACCAGCAAAACTGCATGGAATGGAAAGTGGGCTGAAGTCTGGACAAAGAAGGGGATAAAATAGCACTTATATGTGTGCAGCTGTAAGATAATCTGTACAAACCTGTGCATGTTAGGCAGTATGCAATTTACATAGACTGTTAGTTGGGCAAACTACTGATTCCTTCCCTAAGAATCCAGAAGTTTCTTGTGATAAATGAGTTTTGAGGCCACTCACTGTGAAGAAATGCCATTTATCAGTATATCAGCTCAGAGAATGCTTTATTTGACTCTGGCTTGGTAAGACTCAACACCCAGCCCTCCTGAGCCCTCAAGGCTCTCTTGAGCTTGTTGGTTACATTGGATTTTTTCTTCAGCTCCCAGGCAAGCGCCCTCTGGGCTGGACTGTGCAAGCAAAGGTGGACATCTACCTATGGCTTGGACCTAGCAGCTATGCCCACAGTGCCATGGAGAATTTGCCTGTAGGATATGAGATTGAACTACCATCTAACACCAACTCAGGGCACAGTGCACTGCCCTCATCTGCTTGCCTGCTGTATAAAAGTAAGGCACTCTTTCTTCTCCCTATTAACAATTAAGGGAAATGGCCCCAAAAGATCTAGTTCAGTGTGGCACAACCCTTGTATAAAGTAACAGTATTAAGATTATAATGGATTTGTTTCTTCATCAGAAAAGGCTGGCTTCATTGCCAAGTCGTCATTCTGCCACTGACACTTTGTAGATGTCAGGGAAAGAAGGAACTTGTATTGCAATTTATGCTCCCCATCCCATGAATCTGTCTCCTTGTAGAGGGAGCATCCCTCAGCTCTCCTGATGATGCATAGAACACCTAGTAGATAAGAGTGATGGCAGACATTAAAAATTGGCCAATAAAAATTGGCACTTAATAGCCCTGCAGTAGAGACCTACATAACTGATTTTAAATGAATTCAGATGTGCTGCACAACTTCTGAGTGTCTCAGGTGCTTCTTTAGTGAGACAGCACTAGCAACAGCTCCCCTTGTCAGATCCTGCTTGGAGAGCAGCTGATGACTCTTCCCCTCCTGCACAAGTGCTGCTCTGTTTCCACGGAGCTGATGTTGCTGTTTTCTCTGCCCTGATGCAGCCCTGCACCTCTTCCAGCTGAGGGCCCACATGTATCAGGCCAGGGGGCTCATTGCCGCTGACAGCACTGGACTTTCTGATCCTTTTGCAAAGGTTACTTTCACATCACGCTGCCAGACCACAAAGGTAAATCCCCGAGCCTCTTTTGGTGACTGAAAACTCTTTTTTTGTTGTTGTTGTTGGAGGTTTTTTGGGTATTTTTTTTTTATTTTCGTTTTGTTTTGTTGGCTTTTTTTTTGTCTTCTGTAACAAATAAGGTATGAAACAGAGAAAATCTTGGTTTTGCAAGGAGGTACCTAGCAGGAAAAGTTAGATGCTTGCTGTTAAAAGAGCAGACCCTGAAAGTTCACTGTAAGCAGGCAAAAGTTTGCATGTTACCCACTACTCTAATAAGAGGTGCAGCAGTACTAGTTTATTTTAGCTCAGATATCAGATTCTCTGGGACCACTGGGAATTTTAGCAAGTGTACCTTTCTTCACATCTTTATTTCTGTGTTTTGAATTTGGACTGTTGTCATTGCTAGGTATAAATGTGGGTATAAGGATGAACCCTCATTCTCTTTTCCTCTAACCTGTGCATTCAGTCACTGAGCAGAGTGAGGACCTTTCCGTGAGCCAGGACAACCCTTTGCCATGGAATGTGGCAAAAGCACACTGGTAGAGCCTTAAAATGGAAATGAGCTGAAAACAGAGAGGTGGGAGACTTAAAGGCTGCTAAAATATGCCCAGCAGGGAATGGTTTCCCATCTCCCTCAGGAAACTCCAGGGATCAAATGGGCTCCTGTGGGGCCTCTAGAGAGATGTGGAAACTTCTACAGAGTTTCAGCAGGAAGGATTGAACTACAGCCTGGGCAAGTGAGCAGGAGGATGGTTCCTCACAGAACATGGAGACTTACTTTCAAAGGTCCTGAGCCCTTTACAACTACCCTGGAGTTTAAATTGATCAGGAATTATGACAGTCATGCCACAAACAGAATTTGCTGAGCCAAATGCGGTCTTGCTTCACACCAAATACAGTCTTGCTTCAGAAAAAATATTTAACCCTCCCATCCAATCCGCCCCTTAAACTTCACAGCAGACCGTTTTAATTTAATTAATTCTAATATTCCTCTGACATTTTATTCTGTTACAAAGCAAGTTCTGTTGCATGTGCCAAAGGGAGCAAAAATAAAGACCTTTCTCTAAATAGTAAATGTCTGCTTGGGCTACTTTTGCCTCAGGGTTATTAATTGTTTTTTTTCCTGTAATGTGATTTTAACTTCTAATAGAAGATGGTGAATGAATCCAATTAAATTAGTGTCTACATCCACCAGATTCTGGAAAGTATAATTTGGTCCAGAAAAATAGGTGTTTATAGGCACAGAGCACAGAAGTTTATTCACTGCCTGAATAAAATATTGCAGCTGATAACTTGCGTGTTTTCATAAGAGTTTCAGCTAAGAGCCAATAAATGGTAAAGAACCTTATTTCCATTCAAAAGAACGATAGCAGGTTATGAGTAATTTTGCAGTTGGCACGATTTTCTTCTTTAACTGTTATCTTTGTTAAATACATTTTCTGCCTAGACAGTTGAAACATTCTCTCTGATGAAATGCTATAAGCATCTGCCTAATTCAAATTACAACAAATTAAAAACTTCTGATTTCCTAAGAGTGATTAATCAAAATATCTTCTTTCTTTTTCATAAAGTGTTAAGTGTCATTACACAGAACGAAAAATAAGATTTAAAAAATGTGCCCTGAAGAAGTGAAAACTGGCCTCAGTTAGGGCAAAAGCTTTATTTTAATAACACTTGGCACGTGCCTGCTTTCCTAAACCAACCAGCTTTCCTCTAACTTTAATACTGAAGTTTGTCTACACAGACTGGTTGTCAAGTATTGATATGCTTTTAGGGATTTGTGAGGCAAATGGAGAGTGTGAACGTACGAGCCTCACAGCAAAAGATTTATATTCTCCTGGCTGGGAGGAGCTGCTGAAAAACGTGGTGTCCCAGACATGGCATTGCTCAGGCTGTGGAAAAGGAGGTCACCAGCAGAGGAGCATGTCCTATGAAGGGTACTCAACCAAACAGCTCATTAAACAATTCCTCTCTTCCATTAGATCATTCCTCAGACACTGTCCCCCACCTGGAACCAGACACTGCTTTTCAACAACGTTGTGCTCCATGGTGACAAAGAGGAGATTGCCCAGTTTCCACCGGAGGTTGTCATCGAGCTCTATGATGATGATGCAGTGGTAAACTCAGAACTCTTCTCACTAAAAACCTGGGCTTTTACATCCTACTGCAAGCATGAAAGCAAAGCTGAGTCACTGGATAGGCTTTAAATGGTTCACCTTGCTGAATAGAGCTCAGTGATTCTGTGGTTTGCAGTTTAACATCTGTGAACAGCCCTGAGATTCACTACATGGCCTTGCAAAGATGTGGCCTTTTATTTTCCCCGAGTGAATCTCGCTCCCAAGACCAGGTTACAGAAATCAGAAGCATCTTGCCCCCAGGTCCCTTGAACACTGCTGTAAATAGTTTGCCTGTCACTTGCTCTGCCCTAAATTCTGTGAAACTGTGAAAATCCCACTGCCATTGCAATGACCTGCTGTTTGCAGTAGCACATGGCCCTGACTACCAGCCTTGAAGCTCCTAATACTGCTTTCATTCTTAGGAAAATGAAATGGTGAATAATAAGGATTGGATAAGGGAGGCTGAGTTTTTAGATACCCCTACTACATCAAAAGAAACATTACATGGTTTCCAGCTGCAAGACAAAAGAACAATTACAGTTTTACACCTTGGGGCTCACAAAAGCTGTCATGGCATCAAGATCCATGACCATCTTGAATTAATAGGAACTATGAGCCATTGGGCCTCGTAGTCCCCACGCAAATCCTGTTACCCCTTCCATCTTGTCAGGGGCCACTGCCCACACACACGACTGCCAGCCCTTCACAGGCTGTAAGCCTCCTTTGCCTGTCACTTGCTCTGCCCTAAACTCTGAGAAACTGTGAAGATCCCACTGCAATTGCAATGACCTGCTGTTTGGAGTAGCACATGGCGCTGACTACCAGCCTTGAAGCTCCCAATACTGCTTTCACTCTTAGGAAAATGAAATGGTGAATAATAAGGATTGGATAAGGGAGGCTACATCAAAAGAAACATTACAGGGTTTCCAGCTGCAAGACAAAAGGAAAATTTCATCCTGGCAGATGCAGTACTGGGATCTATCATGCTGGCATTCTAGGCAATTTTACTGAAATTTGTAGAGCCACCAGTTATGGGTAACTTCCATCTGCTGAAAACCTACGAAAATTTATTCTGAAATTTGAAATGGGAAAAAATTTGGAATGTCATAACATGTTTTATGGATAAAACAAGCTTCTAATCATGATAGCTATTTATGTCTTTGGTGTAAGCCAGAAATATAACACCACATGGAATCTTTCCTCCTTATGGTGGCATCACAGGGGAGAGTGAGAGCTTCAGACAAAGTTCATTACAGAAGCCCTCCTGTTGAGTCACAAGGTGCAGAAAGATCCTCTTGCTTTTAAAACTCCTTATCAGAGAGGAGCTTGAGCGTGGCTGGGTCCAGTCTTAGTCCCACATTTTCAGTGATTTAAGTCTAAGGAAGTATAGAGGTGTGAGAGAACCTTTCTGAGATTCCACTTTGTGGTGAACAAAAAAGTTATATATTATATTTTCTTTTACTATCTTTTGGGATAAAGAACAAGGTGCACAAAGATCCTCTTGCTTTTAAAATTCCTTCTCAGAGAGGAGCTTGAGTGTGGCTGGGTCCAGTCTTAGTCCCACATTTTCAGTGATTTAAGTCTAAGGAATTATAGAGGTGCAAGAGAACCTTTCTGAGATTCCACTTCGTGGTGAACAAAAAAGTTATATATTATATTTTCTTTTACTATCTTTTGGGATAAAGAAGCAACACCATTTAGGGGATATATTCAAATATATTCCTAAGATTTCTCTAGAAAGTTGGCAACTTCATTTCATGAAAGAAAATGAAATCTTGCCATTTCAGTGAGTACCCATTTGGCAAGGTTTGGTCCATTTTCCTGCACTTTGCACTTTGTTTCATAATTTTCTCTCTCTCTTTTTTTTTTTCTTCTTTTTTGTGGTTTTTTTTTTCCCCCCAAGCATTTCATTTTACCAATTTCTTCTCTTCTCTCTTTGTTTCACTTTGTTCCCTCATTTCAGGATTCCAGTGAGTATGATTTGGCCTCTTTTGGTTCTTTTCAGTGCACCTCCTTTTATCCCAATTCTTTTGTTGTGTTCACTACTTTTCCAAATTTCCTTTATTTATTTTAATTGCATTTTATTTTATTCAATCTCCTTTCCATAGCGTTTGTTATACTTTGTTCTCTGATTTCAAGATCTCATTTCTTTTCTTGAAATGAAACTGCCTGGCCTCAAAGCATTCCAAGAGCTGATACGCTGCTGGTTTTTTCCAACATCAGGAGATGCCTGATGGTGCTCTGGTTGAGGAAGGAAAGAAAAAACTCTCTCATCCCTGATTCATTCTCATTCTGACCCCATAACTTTTCCTATGACATACCATTCTCCATAACTCTGATCTGCAGGTACTGCTTGGTTCAGCTGAAGAGTGTTGTGAAGAAGTTAATGCTCCTTTCTCCTTTCAAAATGAATGTTGTGTCTTGCTGAAGGGATAAAAATTAATCTTACAATTAAGCATCCTGGCATTCAGAGAAAGAGTACACTGAAAAAATACAGACTAATGGATACTGAGAGTCCTGGTTTTGCTCAGAATGAGCTCAGGGTTTATTCATTTTTTTAATCAAAAAAGCAAAGTCTCTTTGTAAACCTTCATGCAGGTATTTCACTCTACTGTTATTTGAGCAGTAGATAATTTTTCACCTCTTCTTCTGTGCAATTATTAAATTAATTGCTTTGGATTTTTACTGATAAAATGTAGATGACATGTGCACGTGAATTATTGCTGCTAATTATGTGAGTTATTGCTGGTAATTATGTGAATACTTACCTCTGCTGCAGGTGCTGTTCTAGATATTACGTGTTCCACCCATCTCTTCCTCCACTTACAAGGTACCAAGGAACACATCCTTTCTCCCTTATAGTAATTAGACTCCCACACAGCTGTACACAGACAGATGGCCTGGTTAAATGAAGCAGAAGAGTTCAACTTCACAGACCCTTTGAGAGCTGTATCTCACCTGCTTCACCTCTCAGTAGTGACAAGTTAGCTTAGGAACACTGCTGCACTCCAGAAGTTGTGCTTCTTTTTCCAGAAGCTGCCTACTCAGTACTCCTTAGGTACCATGCTTCAAGTGAAAGGTGAGAAGAGCTCTGCCTCTAGGTTGTTCCCTTCTGCCACAGCCTGAGCTTCTGACAGGAATCATCATCATCATCATCATGTGCTGGCTTCCATTGTTTTATGTAGGAATTTTCTAAATCAGGCCAGGCTTCAGATCTGTCCTGTTATGGAATCAGAAGGTCATAAATACACACTTAAAAATAAGGAAGGTGTTGGGATATGAAGCCAATGAGCTTTGTCACAGAAGGTGCTCCAAAGCTTGGAGCACAGCAAGAGGCAGAGATGGTCACGCCTCAGAGCTGCACTGGAGTGTGCTCTCCTCCCACCCAGCAGGAACACGGCAGTCATGTACATCAAATATGCTCCTGAACATGGGGCAGGTTCATGTGCAATCACACACAAAGAACAGAAGTGCCACAAGAGTTTATTGGCTGCACAGAGAAGACTCAGCCCTAATGTTGGAGAGGTGGTTTGGAAGTTCTCAGGTGATGAGAGCATGCAGTAATGCAGAAACACTATTCCATAGCAGGTGGAGAATATTGTCTCTCCAGCAAATGTGTGTTTTTGCTGATGGGCACTGTCTGTTCTAGCTCTTTTTAACTAGAATCACATCTAGAATCTTCCTGTGGAAGTCTTCTAAGCAGTTTTGCTCAGGATTTTTGTTAAATAGAATTGCCATTCTTTCCTTTTTTAGTAAGTAGAATTACCATGCTTCACTACGTGCATGTCTTTAGGGCAAACTATGTCCTACTAGGAAAAAGGACCTTTTTTTTTTTTCAGAAAGACACATAAACCAAATCCCTTGAATACTTTTTCTGCCATGTGTTTTAGCATCACAACTTGAGAGGGCATTTCAAGCCACATTCCTTTCACAGCACAACTGTTCTGCTCTGCAGCTTGTCTTATAAAATTGATTGAATTGGAGTGTTCTATGTGCCATTATCAACAGATATTTCCAATATTGGTTTTATTCATCCAAAAACCAGCCTGAGTTAAAACTGCTTCATTTTTCAGATTCCTGAGTCAGATCCAGACAGACTTCCCCCACTGGATCCACCAGATATTGGCCAGATTTACCCAGTCCCAGCTAACATACGGCCTGTTTTAAGCAAATACAGAGTGGAGGTGAGATACTTTGACTATTTCCCTTTCCTAACCTCATCTCCTTTTATTCTCTTGCTGAGCTGCACCAGTAACTGATGATTTGACAATCTTGATCAATATGATTCACATGGAAATAGCATATGAGGTCATGCAAGGCTGTGCTTCCACTGAGGGAACAGTGGAGCTGTGTTTCAATCCTGACCTGCTGGTACTTCTCCTGTGGCAGAGCATTGCTGGTGGATCCACACTCTGTGCAGCCAAGGAAGTGTCCACAGGAGACGGAGAGCTTCCCCTTGCAAATGGCATCACTGAGCTCAAGTTTGGCACCAGCTATTTGTCTCACAGGTTTTTATGGGTCCCTGACCTCAGCCAAATGGTGCCTTCTGCCTGACAAATGTCTACACCTTCCCTGTCCTTCTCTCTTGTAAAATTTGTCCAAAGTAGCCTTATATTAGAAAGCTGGGAAAAGTGGCAGCTTTTCCTATCATTGCAGTGCCTGATGCTGCCCAGCCTCACTGTTCCCTGCCGTTCATTCTGCAGCCTTCACACACCTCCTCATCAGCCCATTTGCCCATGCCAGGCCAGGGTTGTTCATTCTGCAGCCTTCACACACCTCATCAGCCCATTTGCCCATGCCAGGCCAGGGTTTTTGCAGGCTCACAGTTTCTCTCTGTTTCTCTCCACACACCACAGGTCCTGTTCTGGGGGGTTCGAGAGCTGAAGAAGGTCCAGCTCCTCTCCGTAGATCGGCCTCAGGTTCTCATCGAGTGTGCAGGGAAAGGAGTCAAATCCTCTGTCATACAGAGCTACAAGAAAAATCCCAATTTCACTGGCCTTGCAGACTGGTTTGAAGTGGTGTGTACAGCATGCTGCTCCTTGCCTGTCTCTTCTCTAGTCAGACAAGGTGTTAATTACCCATTATCTTCCTTTCTTGTCAAATAATTTGTTCTGTCTTGATTAAATAGTAAGGGATGTCAGTTCTTGTGCAAAAGCTACTGTTTTGAAAAGCTTTAAAAGACTTCTGCTACAATCATATGATAAAAGAAGATTATGTTTTTCATGTTAAGTCCCAAGTAGATAAGAAAATGTGTTGTAATCAGATTTTCACTGATAGGTTGGAACATGTGGGTAGCTAACAGAAATATATTTAGTATTTTTCCTCCTCCTTTCCAGTTTTGCTGGGTAGTGTTCAATTTCCTTTGTTTCTTTCCATTCTTACAACTTTCGTTTGTGTGTTACTGGGCTATTAAGGGGACTGATCATTTCTTTCGAGCTCAGGACCTTCTTACATTGTCACACCTGCTTTTATGAACTGCAAAGTATTGTACCACCTGTTGGTTGGGTTATGAGAGCTGCACTTTCAGAATCAGTCACCAGCAGAATTAAACTGTCTGTTCAATCTGCTATTGAGAAAAGCATATCAAAACTATAACATGGGTACTGAAGTACAGTTCCTACAGTATTTTTAGCTCCTATTGTACTGTCCTAAGAGCTGTTTTCCTCTTGGTAGTTCCTTCTATAAGCATGTAACCACACAGGGTCCACATCTTGTTGTTGGGCAAACTGAGGCAGATAGGGCATATAGCCTTAAACAAAGCAGCAGTGGAATTAGGACTCACAACTTCCAACACTGCATTTTATCCCCCTGAACACTCCTGATTCTCCTACTTTGTTCTAAAAAGAGATGCTTCAATATGAGAGCATGGGATTCATCCCAGCAGCATGGTCTGTACAGTCTACTCTGTACTTTAAAGAACAGAGCTTTCTCTAGATTTTGCAGAAACCCAAAATCTTATTGCCTATGCTGAATGCATTTTGCATTATGAATATATTAATTGCTAAGGAGGAGAAAGGAGGGAGGGAAGGAGGGAAGAGCAGAAGCCCTATTTCTGTGCATGAGAAATATTCTATACGTGTCCTACATGCTCTAGCAATTCTCTCAGCAATGCTGCTGTCTGTCCCCTGCACCAGGAGCTGCCTGAAAATGAACTCTTGCATCCACCATTAAGCATCTGTGTGGTTGACTGGAGAGCCTTTGGGAGGAGTACTCTTGTTGGAACACATACCATCAACTGTCTTAAGCAATTCCTATGTAAAACCCCATTAGGTCTTCAAGCTGCACCTAACAGAGTATACATTGCAGAAACTGAGGAAGGTAAGTGTTCAATTCTGACCCCAAATAAAAGGATAAAGGACCTTCTTAGAGGTTTACACTTAGAAGTGTGCTTTATTGTGTTGAGCATAGGATCAAACCCTTAATCGCATTATTATTTGATGATCATCAAATGCAAGGACAGTATTTCTGCAAAATCTTACCTAACTTGCAAAGTTTCAATTTCAGCTTCCCCTGAATCATCCCAGCCTGCTGAGCTATCCCAAGAAGAAGCATTTTTAGCTGATGACATCTATGCTGAGGTGGAGCAGGGTAAATGGACAGTGGTAGAGCCAGAGCCATCCCTCACAGCACTTCCTGCCACTGAGCCAGAGCACTCTGCCCCTGAGCCAGGGAAACAGAAGAAACAGAAGGTGGGTACAGCTGAAACTACCAGCTAACTCCCTCCTGCAGTCTTGCAGACTTCAGCCCTTCCTTAAGAAGTGGTAACCTGTTGGTCCCAGGTTTAGAGATTTTGGGTATTGATGTTTACACCCACACTATCTTACTGACCCTCAGAAGTAAATAACAATGCAGCTTTGACCCCACAGAATTTCATTACTTCCACTGATAAATTCTTTAAATTCTTGCAAATTCAAGTGGGAAAAGCCAATTTGTATCTGGATGTTTGCATCCCTTGAAATATCATCATTCATTATCTGTTTATTTATTATCTATTTATTGTCTGTTTATTTATTATCTATTTATTATCATTATTTGCCTGTTGTCTGGGTTGCTCCTGTGGCAATGTCTCCAATGTTTAAAGTCATGGCATAGTCAGTAGAAAATACAGAGATGGCTTTAAAATATGATGATCACAATGAAGTGTCTTGGAATAAAGGACAGAGATGGGAATTCATATTGCATTTTATTTACACTCTTAGAAGCTGAAATTTTCTGTGTATACAGCTGTTAATGCTTAATGTCATGAGTCAGGTGATTAGTTTTAACCAGTTCTAGTGCTTTTGTCATCATTTGGTAGGACATTAAAAAATCCATTCGACGGTCAACAAAGAGGAGAAAAAGAGCCATTGCAGATGAATCAGCTGAAAATGTTATTGACTGGTGGTCAAAATACTATGCTTCTGTGCTCAAAATGCAAAAGGTGAGTCACCCAGCATGCCCAAAATTCTCACAGATGAGCAGTGTTGTAAAAGTAGATATACTGCTGAATGATTCCTTTTCGGTATTACACTCATAATGAGGAGTTTGTCCATCATGATCATGTTTTTCTTTTGAAAGGCAAAAGGAATTTTTCCCAGTGAAGGAAAACCTGAAGACAGTAAGTAAATTATTTGCATTTTTCTAATGTTTTGCTCCAATACTGTCTCTAGTGTCACTTCTCTACTATTTTGCTGGCAACAATTAATGTCTGGTAACAGAATACTGTTGGTGTACTGGGCTCTTTCCTCTACAGCTGATCAGATGATGGATATGTTAAAACTTCACAGTCAGGGTTGGCTTAACATGAATTTCCTGTCATTCAAATAAATTATAAATTCTCTTCTGATCATTTTTGTTGCAAATTTTCACCTGTGATGATAAGCATTATACATATAAGACATCTCTGACATAAAATGTGTATCTCTAAATATTTAGTGCTGTTAAACACACACGAACTACTAAAAAAAATGAAAGTAAAGTGAACTCAAAATCCAGATTTCAGCCAAAGAACTGAACCATCTCAGTGTAACTTTTGGGGGCTCACCCTCTTTTTGTTGGGAAATCCCCTCAGTGTTTGGGATCTGACTTTAGTCTGGCGTACTCTTCCCATTTCTCATACTTCCAAGTTTTCATCAGGTGAAATACACCCTATTTTGTGACATCTTTAAGCAGAGAAGAACTTGGGTCATCCTGATATCTGAAGTAGTTGTCAGCCTAAACAACAGCTTTCAGTTTTAAATAAATCTTAATTTTTATGTGAAAGCTGATAAACCCTGTTTATTTGCATTGGGGAGGAGTCAGAGAGGGAGGAAAAGGGTGGTCTGGGAGGTGGCCATCAGGGAGGGGGCCATGCAGGACACCTTCACACTTGGTCCAGAAAGTTCTTTATGAAGACTGGCAGCCACAGAAAGCATACATTGCCACCTCTCTGCCTGGGAGGACCAGTGGTAAAAGAGAGGATCCCTATGGCTGGCAGTAGAGGAATAAACAGAGAAAGAGCAAGAAGAACTCTTTATAAAATGTATTTTGCATCCTTTTCTGAAGCTTTTATGTGCTTTGCTTATTGAAACATACATGATGTCATTAAATTTCTGCAGATAAGCAGACTTCTGACCACATAGCACTGATCATAGAGGATGAGCCAGACAAAAAGAAGAAGGATAAGACACTGAAAAGGATACAGAAGGAAACTCCAAACCTAGCAACACTGCAGGTAAGAGAAAAATAAGGCTGAGTTAAGGCTGTTGTTCACTGTGTCTCCAAAGTTTGACATCACAGCTGAGTTTGGCAAACCCTCCTTACATATATTTCAGACACTTTAAAATGAATAAAAGACACTAAATTATAGTGATAATGCCCTTCAGCACAAGGGACACAGAGGAGACCACAGTGTGGCCCACTTGGTCTTAGACATAGAATTTATTGGTGTAGACAAACCCAGAGAAACTTCAGTGAAATTCAGTTTTGTTGTTTGCATGTAAAATACTGCAGTTGGAAATCCCAAACTTCATGTTAAAAATATTGCAGCCTATTAGGAATGTCTGAAAAAAGAGGTGGAAAGCATTACTGTGATGGCTAGTGCATCCTTCCTGTTGGGAAATAATACTCAGCTCACATTAGATTTGGTTGTTTAATGATAGAGGGAATTTAAAGAAAGCTATATGGGCTGTGCAAAATGTCTGGAGAGATGAGAGGTTTGAAAAGATTAAGACAGTTTAGATTAGATTGTGGCTGAATAAATGGGAATTTGAAACTGCTGTTTCCATTTTTAAGAGATTGCAGTAGTATAGGCCCTTCTATTTCATGCTTGATAAATTACTGGGGGAGAGTATTGAAAAAACATGTTCTTTGAAAAATTATTTGGTCTTTTGAGCTACCCTAAAGCTCTGTCCCCACAGCACTTTATTATTGTGTGCTTTGCACTCAAATTTTATCACATTAACACGATAGAATAGGTCAAGTCAACAAAGGCACAATGCAGCAAGGAAACAGAAGCAAAGAGCAGCACATACACAATTTTTCACTCACAGCAGTGGCTAAAAATGTTCATTTTGGCCCCTCCAGATTCACTTTCAGCTGCTACATTAATGTGTCATTTTAGTAGCTGGGGAAAGCCTTTGGTTGAGGACAAAATTGGTCCTGTTTTAAACAGGGAATTAACTCTTTTCCTCAAGGATTTTGCAAAACCTTGGTTTTTATTAAAGTCTGAATTTTGGGTCAAAATTCATTTCTATTCATTCTTTAATAAAAAAGTTGCTATAAATATACTCACTGCACCACAAAATGTTAGCATTCTTTTATTTTCAAAGATTTATGAAGGAGACTTGGAGAGTGAATTTAATAACTTTGAGGACTGGGTGAAAACTTTCCAGCTCTTAAGAGGAAAATCTAATGATGAAGTTCATGCTGACGCTGAAGACAGAATAATAGGAAAATTTAAGGTAAGCCTTAATGTTAATTAAATGGGCAATAATTTAGAGATTTTAGGTTTTAATACATATATCAGGTATGCCAGGGATGAAAGAAATAAATATTGCTAGTCTGTTGTAAATAGAATTAGTTTTATTATTTCTAGAGTCAAGTTTTTTCCTTTCCCATTATCTGATAGAAAAAAGCATCATCCAGCACCAGGTGTTCACTCCTGTTTTGAAATAAGGAATTGCAAGGAGTTTGAAATTAGAGAAATGGAAGAAGAGATATTATGTAGTCCAAATTTCACTAATGCAGCTTGGTTTCTACACTATCAGTTACAGAACCTTACATGTAATTTTGTGTAATTTAGGTGTAGGCCCTCACAGCTGCAGCCTCATCCAGGGCTCCATCAGGCAATCTGAAAAGTTCAAAGCCTGAGCAATGTTATTAGGATTTGTTTGTAGTTTAAAGGAACTGATTAAACTCATTGATATCTTAATTAGCTTGCAATGCAGATTTCTGTCCAAATGACAGAACTGTTGTTAGTTGCTTTCAGGCAGTGTGAGCTACTCAGCAACATGAGTCAATATTGATCCATTTGAGCTGCAAAAACACAGTTGGATTCCTCTCACACTCTTATGAAACTTAATGGAATTATTAATTTGCCAATATACAGTTATGGTCAAAATATTATTTTTAAAATGTTAATGATAAGAAAACTGGATTTGGAACACCTACAGGTATTAGTTTAAAATGGTCTATAGGCACAGAGGTACTCCTTGTAAATATCTAGATATAATAGTACCACATTGTAGAGAAAAGACATAAGGTGATGTTTATTTCAATGCAGTTTGGGTTCCCTTTGAGGGCTACCACAAAATAAGTTACATGAGTAATGGTTTTTTCATTCAAAGGGTTGTTTTTTTATTGCACTTGATCTGTTTTCAAGGGAGATAAAAGTCAATGTATTTCCAGGGCTCCTTCTGCATTTACCCAAGTCCTGAGGATGGCAGCTTGCTGGATGGAGGGCAGCCCCACATCCTGCAAGGGATCCCCCCAAACCACCCTGTCAAAGTGCTCATCAGGGTTTATATCGTGGCAGTAAGTAGACAGATGCTCTTTTAACCTTGAAGTAATTTGGATTTTTCTTTTCAACTCAGTTTAAAGTGTCTTTGCAGTGAAGCTTCTGAAAATCGTCATCCATGGGATTTGGGCTTTTTTCTGGTCATGTTTCAGACCGCATTTCATACTGTAAAAATGTGTGCTCAGAGTTGAAAATGTTTTATATGTATTCCTCACAAGAAATCTGGAGATTTCTGCAACACTGGAGAATCACTCTACTTGTTGAAATTAAAAGCTCTGGATCCTAACATAGTACAGATAACCCATTTCAGCCACAATATGCAAATGCAGCCAGTTTTAATGAATAGAGCTGTTAAAAATTACACACATTTAAACAAAACCTCAGTAAGAGGGAAATGGTAGTGCATTTTTGAGGGCCTGTGAATAGCAGAACTTTCAGCCCACATGTGAATAAATTTGGGGTAGATTAAGGTAGAAATACAGAGCACAAGATGAGAGACAATGGTGTGAGAGGTAAAATGGGTAGAAGAAACTGGTGTTTCAGAGAAACAAGAAAGTTGCAAATAATCGAAGACAGAAAGATGGCATGCAGAGGGACTGTGGCAATAAGACATAAAGAGATAATTTTACTTCCTGAATGAATATAAAGACGTAGAGGTCTTTTCCAACCTTAACAATTCTGTGATTCTATAAAGAGATGGTTTGCACTGTTCAATGATCTGGAACAATATTTGTGGGTAAATCTTTCCTGAATCCTACCTGCACTTGTGCACCCAGCTTCTTCCTTAGCATTGCCTCTCCTGCTCAGCTTTTTCTATGTTAGTGATGGAACAACATTTCCAGCTTGGCAAACTCTCCAGATCATCTTTTTGTTGTAGCCTACAAAACCACAGGCCAAATTTTACATTGCATGAGTCAGGCAAAGCCCCTGAACTTCCAGAACACCCAGGACTGGACAGGAAAACCATAGGCATGTGTAGGGACCCTGCTGTATTTAAGCAAACTTCTTGAGGACACTTTTTTTCTTCTTAAAAGGCGTTTAACCTCAGCCCAGCTGATCCAGATGGAAAGTCAGATCCCTACATTGTGCTGAGGCTGGGCAACACAGAAATTAAAGACAGGGAAAACTACATCCCCAAGCAGCTAAACCCGATATTTGGAAGGTCAGTGATGACTTATTTTTGTATTCAGTGTAATTTGTGCTTTATCTCTTGCTACCACTGTTGCTGTTATTAAGTGTTTGCTATATGCTGATTTCTGCCTGTTTGGATGTTTTGTAATTCTGATGGTTAAAATGTTGGGAATTGGTGTCACACTGTATGATAATAAAATATTTTGTTTTCATACCCACCAAAACAGATCAAGTAATGCAATCTGTGAGAGGTTTTGCAAAATGATGTGTGAGAGGAAATGAGGCAACAAATGATAATTGTCTGTAAAAATTAATACAATAATTAATCACAGTAAAATGTGATTACACAATCTTTGTTGCTGTTTCAGATTGAATAGAGTACTAAATAAATATCATAATTCTAGGACATAGGAGTTTTTTGAATTCAGACAGCCTTCTGAATGGGGGAGCCAGGGGCAAGCTGTCAATAAAGATCCAGTTTGTGTTATCAGTGCTTTAGAGTTATGTATAGTCTCAATGCTAATAGCTGTGATTTTTTTTTTCCCGTAAATTTCTCCATTAAGTTTAAAGCAAAATAAATATCAGAACAGTAAAGTGTGATTACACAATCTTTGTTGCTGTTTCAGATTGAATAGAGTACTAAATAAATATCATAATTCTAGGACATAGGAGTTTTTTTAATTCAGACAGCCTTCTGAATGGGGGAGCCAGGGGCAAGCTGTCAATAAAGATCCAGTTTGTGTTATCAGTGCTTTAGAGTTATGTATAGTCTCAATGCTAATAGCTGTGATTTTTTTTTCCCGTAAATTTCTCTATTTTCAGAAGGTTGAAAATATTTTAAATCAGGGTGGAAGAACATTAAGACAGAAAAATGATCCTATTTTGGACCAGAAGAACCCTAGAACAGAAGGAAGAGTAGAAAACTCATCCTTCAGGAGACAAAGCTCAGTTTTTTCTGTGCTTTGGAGAAATCTGGAGCCAGTGTTGTGATCAGGATGTCCTGTCCTTCACTAATTTGTAAAATCCCTTTTACAATCACGTTTATATTTTCGACTTCCCATCACATCTCAACTGACTCCTGAAAAATGCACTGAGTGAAAAGGGAGTTCTTTGCTTTTTTGAGATTTATTTAAAACTTTTGCCTGATCATTTTGTTGGGTGCCCCCAGATTCCTATATTCAATATTTAACCTGCATCTTTTGCAAGAAAACAGAAAATACTTAGATGTCCCTTTTGGGGGTTCTGAAAAATGTGTGAGAACCCTTACGTACAGCTGTATTAGTATTACTGGATTCAGGATTGTAGGAACAATCTTAGGACTGTTCACAGGGTGCTAGGAAAGCAGGGAAAGAATATACTTTTGCACTTTGTGTTTCCAGCATGTTCATGTATTTAATTGAAGGGAAAAGCACTACTAAAAAAGCCCACTGTTTATTAGAAGAGGCACCACTCACACAGTTTGCACGGCATTAATTAGCCTCTCCTTTGAGGTTTCAAAAGTGATTTGACTTCATGTAGGTCTCAATTTTTCCTGTAGATCATTTGAAATCCAAGCTACATTCCCCAAGGATTCCTTGCTCACAGTCTTGATCTATGACCATGACTTCATTGGGACAGATGATCTTATTGGAGAGACTAAAATTGATTTGGAAAATCGCTTCTACAGCAGACACCGAGCCACCTGTGGTTTACAGAGTCAATATGAAATGTAAGTACTTCTTCAGGCAGCAGCAGAGCTCACAGTGAGTGATTTGACTTGAAGGAGAAATTACAGATGTGTTCCAGATATTGTGCTTTCTCCAGTATAGAAGTGTCACAGAGTGTATTTTAATTAAAACTCACCAAAGAGCTTAGTGGTGGCTTTGGGTCGCTGCCAGCCTCAGTGGGGAATGGATATTTTTAAATTAACACCACTGTTGGTTCAAGAAGTATTTTAGATAGTAAACAGCTGATGTTTACAACATACCTGCTTGAAAAACTGCCTTTGAACAGGCATAAAGGGCAAATAGGAAAAATATCTCAGAGAAATTATGCCAAGGCTCTACTTTGCTCTCTACTATTCAGCTGCAGCTGGAGTGATTGCAGCAAGGCTGGTGGGACTGGGGGCAGCAGGAGCAGAGGCTCCTGACATGACCTCTGTGATGGGGTGGAGCAGTGAGGCTGAGCTTCTGGTCCCTGCCAGACAGCTGCACTCACAAGGATGTTGCACATAAAAAATAATTAATGCAGAGAAAATCAACCTAAAATGACTCAGCTGCCCTGGAGTCGGGCACTAACCTGGGAGATGTGTGCCTGGGGCTCTTCCATGATCTTTTGTCATTTTTTCTACACACCAAGGGTGTACAATGTCAAAAAGCAATCAGGAACACTGACCAAACCCCAAAGCTTCCCTTGCCAGCTCAATCTCCAGTGTGAGATATTTCTTCATGTACTTATTACATGTCAGATAACCTGAACTTGTCCTTTGCATCTGGGAGCTGCAGAATTATTTCCTTGAATGGAGGCAGAACATGTAAACTCAAATCTTTAGGTACAGCAGGGAACAAGCTCTGCTCCTTTTCCTCCTGGGAGGCATGCCCATGCTACGCCCATGCTATGACTTTATCTAAGCCTGCCTCAGCTTCTCCTGTGTTTTAAGAGAAAGGAGTGATTGATCTCCAAGGACCTGAGCAGAAAGAGGCAGTGTTTTAAGTAAGAAGCCGTGCTGGACAAAGGAAAAGTTTGAGATGGCGTCAGGGTGACTGACCACAAAGCGAATCTCTGCTTTGAAATTCTTGATCTGTCAGTGCACTATTCTGAAGGAAAACCTCACCCATTTTCTTCACTCTGTCCCCTCCTTGCAGAGAAGGATACAATGCATGGCGAGATGCAACCAAGCCGAGCGAGATCCTCACTAAGCTGTGCAAGGACTACAGATTAAGTGGACCCTTCATGAGGCCAGGAGAGATACAAGTAGGAACCAAAATCTTCAAGGGACAGACAGTCTTCACGGAAGATGAGAATGGTAACAAAGTAGTTCAGCATCCTTCCTTTGCATTGTAGCAGTACCAGGAGCCTGCCAAGGTGTGGCTGGAGCCCTGTTGTGCTGTGAACTCCCAAGACGGATTACTGGAACCTGTGTCTGCTCTTAAACACTCATGTAACTCTGGCAAGGAAGCTGTGTCTTTGCTGTAGCTTAATTGCAAAGAATCTGTAGAGTGAAACAGTTGCTGCTGATGACTTGACATCCTCGTGATGGCTGTTGGGAAACACCTTGGACTAGCTCCTACCCGATCCCAAGGATGGGATGTCCAAGATTGTTTGGAGTGTGGGGGACCCTCTTGGAACATGTCTTCTGCCTTAGTGTTGGTCTGTGCATGCTCTGAAATCCTTCCCCACAAAATATCAAAGCATGGGAAGTCAGGAAGTGCCTTTCAAAGAATGTATTCTCTGTTTAAATTAAAACACTGCAATAGACAGACTCAAGAAGTGAGAAGTAGAGGGAAGAGAAATACTGTTTTGAAGGGAGTTACTCAAGGTCAATTTCTGACCATAGTTGTATTCCAGGCCACTTATTAGCCCATACTATCTTACCTACTTGTCCTTCCTGTGTGTTGTTTTTTTCCTCCTCTTGGTTACTGCCACTCTGATTCCCCTTCCGAAGCACTGACATAGCACTCTGTAAATCCAGGTATCTGTGGGGTCCATGAATCCAGATGGCAGGGTGTAACTTACTGTCAGAGTTCCCAGGTTAAAAAGAGTCAAAGCAACTGGGACCTCCAGTGTCCATATCACATTGGGGTGGAGTGGGACAGAGCCATCAGTGAAAGGTGCCCTGGCCATGGCAGGGGGCATGAACAAAATTTTCTTTGAACACTCCTTCGAACCCAAACCATTCTATGACTCAGTCTTGTATTTAGAATAAGGAAAATAGATGTGAGGATGGAGCCTTTCATGGGGAGTGAAAGGAGCTGGTCTCAGAGACAGTGGTGGACACTGTGGCAGTGTAAGAAAACCTCCAGTCCCTTATCAGTGTTGGTTTGTCTTTGACACATTCTTCTTAGCAACTACAAAATACAGCTCACACCTTGAGTGGGAGGCTGCCAAAGAAGCACTGTTGAAGGGAGAAGAGTTGATCCATTTTTGGTTTCTTGGCCTGAAAGATTTTTTACTCCAATATTGCTGTTTGTTTTCCTCACTAGCAGATGACTGAGTGTGATTACCAGCAACAGGATGTCTCAATCAAAATTCTGGTTCACTAAAGTGAGCTTCAGACAAACCAGTGTCAGATGAGATGATGGAAATCAGAAGCAAGGAAATATAGAACCAGATGGCAAAGACCAAAAGACTCATGTACACAAGTTTTTCATATTGTACAGAATTAGTTTATTGCATGTGGGCTTTACATAATTTCTATCCAGATTGCTGTTCTGACAAGTACATCTGGGTCCTTATTTCCTGATAGATTTCTGTGGTGGCCATAATTTGGATCTGTAAAACTAGCAAAGGCCACAGATTTGAGCTCTAGAGGCATACTGAAAAGGGGAAGTGGTCCCATTTCCACTGTACAGGTGGAAAAAAATATAATTATCCATCCAGCTTTAACTTGCAAGGGAAGGAAAAATTTAACTTTGCTCTAGGAACAAAGAAGTTGGATAGGATAGGATAGGATAGGATGGGATAAGAATAGTCTGGTTGGAACAGACCTACAATAATCACCTACTCCAACTACCTGTCCACTACTCCCAGGTAGTCTAGGATCACCTGTAGCCAATGGGAAGAAATATGTATCTTCAGGGGTAAAAAAAAAAATAAAATAAAATTAAAAACATTAAAAAAAACCTTTAGAAAGGTTTCTTTGAGAGGATACAAGATTTTGGATACTGTAGGATAATCTGAGTCATTGTTACTGAGGCTGCCTGACTGAATAGAAGCCAGAGATCTTGCTAAACCTGGCTAAAATTAGATGTTGGTGCACAAGAGGGAACCAAGATTCATAATCACAAGATCATCCTTCCTCACTCTCTGAGCTGTTAGGGAGGGTTTAATACCTACTGTTTAAATTCCAAATGAGTCTTTTGCCAACAATCAGTAATTCAGACATAGCAACATGCGTAGGAAAAACGATAACAATTTGTTGACACAAATAAATCTTAACCTTCTTCTCACTTAGGGACTTCTAATCTAGAAGATATCACTTGTCAAAAGTCTGGGCTCCTTTTGTGTGGAGCCCACACAAAAAGGGAGGAAAGACCTCAAAGGGCTTTCTCTGCTTTCTAACATCCACACTACTTTCAGTATTAGCACTGGTTCTTCCTTGAGGTGCCATTCTCTGGCATTCTCTGGTTTTCCTTTCCAGTGGCCAAGGTGAAAGGGTGAGGAGGGGAAATGTTCTTGCCCATGGACTTCAACGCTCTTCCTCTGAGGTGTGATTAAATTCTCTAAGGTCTTTGCTGTTGCCATTACAAAGTAAAAGGAGGCATAGCTAACTTCTAGTGCCTATTTACTGTCAGCTTTGTCAGATCCAAGTCTCCTTGTCTTTCACAGGCTTTAAAAATTTGCAATTTTCTGCCAAAAGAATAACTGACAGTTTCTTCCATCTTCCTGTTAACAACAGATTCTGTAACAGTGGAATGATTTGCTGTACTTTACAGGAAAACTGGTGCCTGAGTGCTAATCTTCTAATTAACCCAATGGGTTCCCTTACTTATGCAAATTAGAAGTATTTTAAGGCCCTTCTTTATTTAGCTGGAATGCATAAAACCTTCCTCTTAACTCAAGCAAATTTTTAATGAGTACCTCTAATAACTAATGAAACATGTTACCAAGGGGTTCAATATTATAATTCAGCTCTCATTGTTCTTTTTGTTTTACTCTTTCCTGTAGAGGAGCCAGTTGAATCATACGAACATCTCTCCTTAAAGGTTTTACGTGCCTGGGAAGAAATCCCTGGAGCTGGCTACAAACTGGTCCCAGAGCACATTGAGACTCGGCCTCTCTACCATAAGGATAAGCCAGGCATGGAACAGGTAGAGCAGCTCAGAGGTGCTGGTGATGGTAGACCCAGGAGCAGTTTTTATTCCCTCCAGTTATTATGGTTTTTATTTGTAACTGCAAACATGGAGCCAGCACTCCAGTGCTGCACCAAACATGAGACTTGCACAGTGTTAACCTGGAAATTGACTCCCATGTGTGTACAGAGCCACTTACCCAAATACACAGTAATCACACCAGGTGTAACTGCAAATTTTTATTCTTTTAAATGCTTTACTTTATTAAAGCCAGGACACTTTATTAAGTTAAAAAAACCTCTGCTTGTATCTAAACCTTTGTTCACCTTTTTTTCCGTTCATCACACACTGGTTTTGCATGGATTTTACCTTGAAGCTGACAGTGTTTGAGCTCTATTTCAACACCACCAAATACCTGAAAGATTGAAAGAATATGTGCACAAAGATATTGTATACAAAATTCCTCAATTAACCATAGTTACAGGATATTGACCTGGTTGGTACTTGTAGAGGAAGAGGTGTTTTTGGATGTCAGAACTACATTGAAAGCCTTTTAAATCCTCTGTGAAATAGGTTGACAGGGATGTTTATCTCTTTGTTTTCAAGGGTCGTGTACAGATGTGGGTTGACATGTTTCCTAATGATATGCCTCTGCCAGGACCCCCCGTGGACATTTCACCAAGAAAACCCAAAGGGTAATACTCTGTGCTTTCCTCCCACCACAGTGGCAACAACTCTTCAAAGACTGAGTCTTTCTTAAGTGTCTGGAAATAAATAGAAAATGAACTACTAAAACAAACCTCTCCAGTCCTGAGGAAAGTTTTCTTAGGTTCACAAGACTTCAAGTCAAAGGGGAGCATCTAGTTTGGTTTCCTCCATTAAACAACCCTAAGAACTGTTGGTGATTTTTCAGCAAGAGCTATCACACGCTTCTTACAAAGATATCCTTTTTTATCCTTTATCCCTTTATCCTTTATAATAAAGAGATTCCAGGTGCTAGAGCAAGTAATTCTGATGTTATCATCTGCTTGTTGGGCTGCAAGGATTAATTCTGGTTTCACTAGCTTTTTCACTGAGATAACTTCCTTGACCCTGGTTGAGCGCTTTAATCTGCTGCAATAGCACTACAGTATCGGATTTCCAGAAATTTGTCCAAGGATAAGATCAAGAAACACATAAAGCAGCAACAGATAGAAGAGATCTCTTTGGAATAGCCTTCTCCCATTTCCTTATGGTTCTTTACATGCAATACTGCACATAGTTGTTCAAGCTAATTGAGTGTTGTAAAGAAAACACTAAAATGAGAAACAGAATTCTCTGAGGAGCCCATCCTGTATTTTATCAAGGCCTTTCCTAAGAATTTCACATCTGAAACATCATCAGGTACTATTCCTACATTATTTGATTTGACAAACAGAAAATCTGTATAGCAATTACTTCTTTCCAACTAGAACCTTCTATAAAACTCCTCAACAACAAGCATTTTCCAATCCAAAAAGATTTAAAACTAATCAAGTCCACAAAACCAAATTGTTGTTGCCATTTTTGTAGTATACTGTAGCAGGGAAAAATACTGTTGAACATTAATTACGAGGAAAAAACCCAGTACATGTAGACACAAATTACACATCTTGGTGATGAATGCATTTTTGCTGCAGCAAAACAGGCTCCAGCCTCTGGAAAATTTCAAACACTTTGTGAAAACACCTCTTATTGATGATCTTTGATTGAACAAGACTCATGTGGGGCATTGCAGATTCAAATTTCTTTGGTTATTGCAGAGGCTTTGTTCTCATGGAGCTCCATGATGTAGAGTATCTGGTAACTTCTGAAGAAAATTGTTCCACACCCTGACATTGAGGCTATTTCCAAGACAAAATATGTCATATCAGGGAAATTTTATGTTGGTGTTATCAAACATAGTTTGTCTTTTTAATGTATTTTGCAGTTCATACAATGACTTAAGGAAAACCTAAATTTTTCAGTATTAAATTTTTATGTCACCTGCAATATCTGTATATCAGCTCAAGTTTCAAGAGATTTGGATGACCACCATAAATGTTTGCATATAGGAAATGGAAAGGATGGAGAAATTCTAATTCCTTTTACTGTTATTTCTAAAGATGATTGTACATGCTTAAATGCAAATCTCTCCAAGCAGTCCTCTTCCCCTTTAATGCCTTAGATTGCACAAAATGCAATGTTTTTAGGCATTTCTTCTAAAAAGCACCTCTGAGGGAGCTGTTCTTTATTAGCAAGCTGATCACTGTTTTGGACACAGCTCTGATGAAGTTTTTCAAATCAACTTTGCCTTGTTCCCCTGCAGTATTTTTGTGAAAAAAAGTTGAAAATGAACAGACATATAAAAAGCAAGGAATTTTCCATCCCTCCAAAGCTGGATCAGATCAACTTTGCCTTGTTCCACTGCAGTATTTTTGTGAAAAAAAAGTTGAAAATGAACAGACATAAAAAAAGCAAGGAATTTTCCATCCCTCCAAAGCTGGCAGTGACCCTGTTGTTGTCCATTATAGTCCATGAGCTGAGGGGAACCTGCATCCCCACTCTATCACCAGACTCTTGTAAACAGAAGAGGCCTGAGACTGATGCACAAACACAATATTCTCACTTTATAAAAAACATGATTCTATAGAGGCTGGCATTAGTGCCTGACCAGGGCTTTACACACAATCCTTTTTTTCTTTTTCAGATATGAATTGAGGGTAATAATCTGGAATACAGAGGATGTAATTCTAGAAGATGAAAATATCTTTACGGGGCAAAAATCAAGTGATATCTATGTAAAAGGGTAAGTTCTTCACACTTCAAAATAACATGCAATATTTCATTCAAAAAATCAGAGGAAAAAATTATGTTGTGAGAATATTTGATGAGCTACTCAGTGACCTTTGCGCTTTGCACTAAATGCCTGCCAAAATTACTCACCCATATGGGATACTGCTCCCTTTTTGCCCTGTTTTATTTCCTCTGAACATCAAGTAACTAAAATTACACTAATCATTAATTCCTACTCAGGCAGAGATGGCACACAACAAGCACCAAGCTCACTGTTTAGCACAGAGGGATCAAACACTTACAGATCTTGAACTGTTAGAGCTTACATGGATGCAGATAATCAGAGAAAAGAGTACCAGGGAGGTCTGGGAGGAAATTATGGGCATAAGTGGTAGTACAAAGTACTGAAAATCTCAGGTGCCAGACTGATCTTAGATTTCTTGCCATTTTTGCACTCCTAGAGAGTAAGCTTAATATGCCAATATGAATTGTGTGTTCAGAGCAGTAGCAGAGTAGCTTTGAGAACACAAATTTGAGGAATTAAATAGGAGGCCAGCCTTTGTGCTGAGCTGTGTGATGAGAACATCGCCATCAGTGCCAGAGTGGTCTGACAGAGAAGCCAGGAGTGGGAAACTTTTTCCTTCTGTGCCTTAATGATGAAGACACAAATCTCATTATGTTCAAACAGTGCATGTGGCACTGTATTTGTCACCAGGCATGGATTTGTACTTGAGGCAGTGCCACGTTTCAGGTTGTTACCATTTTTCACAATTCCTTTTTGAAATATTGGGGTTGCAGGGGAAAAGCTGCTCTTTGGATACAGCACAAAGTGCTAATCTTTATTCAAGGTGTGATAAATCATCTACAGAACTAAAACACACCTAGCTGGGTCATTACCTCTCTTCAGATGAGAAAATTATGTTTAAGAAAGTGTTGTCCTTTGTACCACAGCACATCTGATACTGTGCACACTGTAGCAGAAAGTAAGAGGAATGCACAAAAAACCAAAGAGAGACTTCTCCAGCTATATAAACACCATGGTTATGGCTGCAAACAGGAACTGCAAAAAATTTTGGCTCTAATACTGAGCACTGATCACAGTCTTGAGACAGTGACACAGAATTTATTAATGTGACAAAATATCAATACAGGGTGATTAGTGCTGGATAAACGAGTGATGCTGTCACCACTGCCTGTCCCAAAGAAGAGAGGTGTCCTGGCCAATAGCAAACTGGTACTGGCCAAGTGGTACTTTGGGATCTGATTGAAATAAAATCCATGTTCTCATTCTCAGCTTTTGATCACCACTGGTCATTACAGCAGCCTGTGTCCCAAGATATCCCAAGCCATGGCTGTTGTTGCCTGCCACCATGCTGAACACTGTGCTGTCTCTTACTGGTTAGGGAGGAATTAGTAAATGGTCAGGCCTGAAACCAAATAACAATTACATTTCAAGATCCCCTGGTGACAGCAATGCTTTCCACTGTGTGCTTGCTGTAGGTGGATAAAGGGCCTGGAAGAGGACAAACAGGAGACAGATGTCCATTACAATTCCTTGACAGGAGAGGGCAACTTCAACTGGCGCTTTGTGTTCCCGTTCCACTACCTCCCAGCAGAGAAACAAATGGTGGTTACTAAAAGAGAAAACATATTTTCCTTAGAAAAGACAGAACGCAAAATACCTGCTGAGCTGGTGCTTCAGGTGTGGGATTTTGAAAGACTCTCTTCAGATGATTTCTTGGGTAAGTATGCAATGGATGTGCCTGAACTCCATCTGAGGTCTCACCAGACCCATGTTTTGCAGAGGTATGCACAAAGTAGTGTCTGAGCTCCAGCTTTTGCTTTTTTCTTTCTGAAACACCACACTGAAAACTTACACATTTCTTGTAAAGCCAAAAATTAGGAACCAGATGAGAATGCCAGGGCAATACAAATGAATGACTGGCAGTACAGAGAGATCCTCAGCTGCTAAATTCCTCCATGGGTCTCATCTGGAAGCTGCTATTTAAGTCTTTGTGTCTGTCTGGTCGCTGAGTGTTGTCAAATTATTTCTTTCTCCAGGCACTCTTGAGTTGGACCTGAATGGGTTCCCTCGGGCAGCAAAGACAGCCAAGAGCTGTGACTTAGGCACAGTTGTGGCTGCAAGTGAGGAAAACAAGATCTCCATATTTCAGCAGAAGCGCGTCAGAGGCTGGTGGCCTTTCATCAAGGCTGGGGAGCTCACGGTAAGCAGCTCACTACAGATGAACAGCTTTTCTCTGTGACTAATGTGCTAATTTTGGATTTTGAACAACCACCACTGACAACCCACAAGATTCCTCCAAATGCTTTAATGGTTCTCCAGATATTTGGTTCAGAAGAACCCAGGTAACTGAGTACTAAAGTGCCTTTTCAGGTGCCTTCAGTTCTCTAGTGGGACATGGACCAAGAGCTACCAGCTACTCATTTCCAGTAGTATAGCCCTCTATAAATTCACCTGCTTTGGTCCTTTTTTAGGGGTCTCTGCCCCTGTCTCTAGACTTTCATTGATTCTCCAAGGGTTTTCCTAAAGCTCACCATTCCTTCACATTTCTGTATATTCCAGCAAAAAGAATGTTTTAATGAAAAGTGCCATCCTCAAGTTCATTGCCTTATTCAGCTTGAAACTGACTGTGGACTTTCCATGGATTTAGTGAATGAACTCCACTTCCAAATATCAGATTTACTTCCCTATTTTCAAGTCTAGTACAATTAATTCCCTTTCTGCCAGTCCACTTTGATCTCTCCCTCTTCCACATTTATAACTTTATTGGCATCCTTCTTTCAGCCCTGTTCTGTGCTGAGTCACAGCGTCAGATTTACTTCCCTATTCTCAACTCTAGTACAATTAATTCCCTTTCTCCCAGTCCACTTTGATCTCTTCCACATTTATAACTTTATTGGCATCCTTCTTTCAGCCCTGTTCTGTGCTGAGTCACAGCCAGTGGGCATAGATCAACACTTCAGATTAACACCATCCACAAAGGTATAGGGTAGGAAAATCACAAATATATGTAAAGTCATTTGTCTGTCTTTCATCCATCACAGATTCTATAAAGCTGATTTGATTTATCCACTCGGAATTGTAACGGGACTCTTTAAATTCCATCTTCCTTTTGTGAGCTGAGACCCCACAGCTCAATGGCTCCAGCACTTGTGAGTGGCTGAATGTCCCCCTGCTGATGGGTTACATCTGGTCCATGTCAGCAGCACAGCTTCCAGCTCAGAAATTCAGCTCTGCCAGGATTGTGTGACAGATAGAAATTCATCTGTTTTTTCAGATGAATTGCATGATAATTTAAGAAGCAGAAAATGTATTTGTGAGTCTGGAAGAAAATGACCTCTCTTTCCTACAGTCCTTGAGCATAAGTCAGCAATTTGTGCCTGGGTTTTCCTATGTGCTTTCTCTTCAGCTGAAAAGACTCTCTTATTTTCCTTAATCAATTTCTTTTGCCCTCAACTGGTTCCGTAATTTCTCCACAAGACAAATCCTGCTGTGAGTTAGTGATAATAACCAGGACTGGATGCTTACATATTCTCTCTCTGATCCAGGGCAAGGTGGAAGCTGAGTTTCATTTGGTCACAGCAGAAGAAGCTGAGAAGAATCCAGTGGGCAAAGCTCGAAAGGAGCCTGAGCCCTTGGAAAAGCCCAAGTAAGTGGGAGCATACTCATTAAACATGCTGGGGCAGGGGCATTCAGCAGGAGATGGGGAAGGGCAACCACCTGACCTCCTTGTGGAACACCTCCTCTCCGGTCTCCTGGATTTCCTTCTCTTTCCTGCTGCAGCCTTCAGCAAGAAATTGTGCAGCTTGTGCAATGCCTGATGGTTGGCACTGCTGCTGGCAGCACCTTCAGGTTTGCTGAAATGGCTTCCTCTGGAAGCCCAAATAAATTGCATTGCTGTGCATTTGTCCTCAGCTGCAATTCACACATGAGCTCATTCCATAGCTGACCTGGTACATGACAACATCTTAAATCATCATAGCTTACACATAGAGTCAACATCTCAGTTTGGTTAGCTATAAAGATCAGATGGATTATATTTATTATAGTAATAATAGAATCGTTTATGCTAGAAATTAGCTTTAAAATCATTGAGTCCAATCATTAATCCAGCACTTCCAAGTCCATTGTTAACTCATGTTTCTAAGCATGACATCTCCACACCTTTTAAGTATCTCCAGGAGTGGTGACTCCCCCACTGCCCTGGGAAGCCTGTTCCAATGCTTGACAGCCCTTTTGGTCAGTAAATTTTTCACCAATACACAATCTAAACCCTCCTTGAAGCAACTTGAGTTTATTTCCTCTCATCCTGTCATTTGTTACTTGGAAGAAGAGACCAATTCCCACCTGGCTACAGCCTCCTTTCAGGTGGTGTAAAGAGCAGTAAGGTCTCCTCTGAAGCCTTCTTTTTCTCCAGGATGAACAACTCTAGTTCCCTCAGCTGCTTCTCACAAGACTTGTGCTCAGACCTTTCACCAGCATCATTTCCCTTCTTTAGACACGTGAAGGATGTAACTTCCATCTCTAATTTTATTGTTCTTCGTACTCAGAGAATGAAGATGCTTATTTTTCATCATAAGATTTTTTAATGAGGACATTGGGAGTGTTTAAAAAAAGGCAAATGATCTAGAAGGAGCAATTTATCTTTCAGTATTTGTCACATTTAAAAAGTATCAGCTGAGTTTTTTGCATTCAGGAAAAAAGTACTTTTAATCTATTTTGGCTCAAGTGCTTTGTTCTACTAAAACACTTGAGCAGGTTTTTTTATGAGCTGGATAAAAAATGAGTGTGAGAAATTGATGTTATATTTCCTGCTACCAAAGCTTCTAAAATTCAATTGCTATTCATAATGGTGATGATTACACATTCTGTTAAATTTTGTTGGTCTGAGATACATCTCAGGATAAACATGAGAAAGGAGAAAGCAGCATAAAGGAATTGTCAGATCAGAGGTATCAGAGCATAGTTTAAAACTAGCCTTGGAAAGACTTTAATCCATCACTTCACCCAACACCTTCACCCAAAGGCAGGATGAGCTTTGCCTGACAGGTGTTTGCTTGAAAGATTCCCAGTAGTGGAAACCTCTTTCAGAGGAGAGAGGGCTGGGATAGCTCTGAAATACATGTGGTGGAAATCAATCAGCATAGGAAGTTTTAAGAGGGAGTTTTAAGTGGAATAGAAGGATTACATGTCCAAAAGGTTGTCAACAGGATGCACAAGGCACTGTCTTATTTTCCTCTCACTTTTTGAGACCCAGCCCATGCACCCATGGCTGCTTAGGGCTCCCTGTGTTTTCAGCTCAAGGGCATTTTATCTGCAGATGCGCTGCTGGGCCAAAAAGTTGTCACCAGCCTGGTGGCCTCTTCTCTGCTGCACAGCCTGGGAGTGTTTTGACCCAGAAGCCACAAAACCAGAGTCTCCCTCCAGATCTTGCACTGAGTGATCAGTGGTTTTTGTGGTGTGAATACACAGCCAACATATACCTCAACATAATTCTACTCTCAACTGAGATGTATGCCTCAATTAAATCCAAGCTAGGGTGGGGATGGTGTCATTTGCCATACCCGTCTCAGAAGCAAAACATTCAGGCTCCTTTTGTAGCTGCTCATGGTAAGGTGGAGGACTTGTCCCATTTCCTTAGCACACATATCCTGAGATACGAGCTGGGGAAAGAGATGACCTGGCCTCCTGAAGATCCTTCCTCTCCCCATGCAGACAGCCCATGAAGGATCAGACTGAGCACCTAAGCTTTAAAGTTCAGCAGAATAAATCCTAAAATTACTAAAGCAATATCAGCATCTGAATAGTAAAAATTATTTTAGCTAGACACTCACTCACTGGAAAGAAAATAAACTAGTTGAAAGTTGAAGGCATAGCATACCTCATTTTATTAAAGTTTAAATTAAAGTTTACCAGCTCAGTGCCCCCAGATCATGCAATATGTGGTTCATACATGCAGAGTAGCCACAGTCAGCTGGGCCATAAAAAATAATTGATTCTACCCTTCAAATAGGTTCTCTTCAGGAAGGAGTGGATCTCAAGGACCTCTTTTCTCAGGACCTCCAGATCTCTATGCCAGTACTGTACATTCACTCTATTTTTTTTTTGCTCATCATGTAAGAACACCCAGAGAAGCAGAGAAATTTTCAGATTTTTTTTGGAAATTATTCTTTTTAATTAATAAGAAAAATAATTTCAAAAGAAAAAATTATTTTCTAGGAGCTATAGATAGTAGCCGACTCTATGATGTGCCAGAGAAAGGTGTACAAAGATTAAATGTCTGTGAACTAGAGAGAGAAACATGCAAACAAAGAATAAGATTCAATGAGTGTAATTTCCTGCTGGCCAAAGCCCTATGAGGTTATTCATCTCTTCAGTTCTGCTGATCAAGGCATGATGCCTTTCCAGATGCAGTCTATTATCATAAATACACTTCTATAACTGGTAATGAGTTCTACTGACTACATTGCAAAGGTAACAAATTAAATAAGCAAGACTCTGGCTTCCTTTTTTTTTTCTTTTTTTTTTTTTTCCCCAGCCTTTAAAGGTTATGAAAAGTACTCAAGCAGTTGGAAAAGTACTCATGCAGACTAAGGGTATTGTTACTCAAGTAGTTTTAATCTTCAGGGTGCCCAGTTTTTTTATAATTCTTTTTATCCTGGAGGGCTAATCTGATGATTTATTTCTGAATAATTTCCACCTCAATAAAAAGCCCAGTCTTTCATAAAAAGACTTTCTGTCACATTGGCATTCACTTCCACTGGCTTAATGCTGAGTTTTACTAGATAATTAAGACATTGCTTAAATTCCTGGAACATCTTTCTGGAGTGAGACATGGCCACAGCTTTTTGTGACCCTCAGTTCATTTCATTCTCCTTATTTCTGCCCCATCTGCACCATTACAGTGACATTGGATGAGAAAGACAACCTGCCCAGGTTTTGCAGGTGTTAGTGTTGCCCAACACCACTGCATTCATCAGGTCATCCCACTGAAAAAGCTGGGAGATGCTGCCTGGGTAGGGCTGCTGGAGCAGCAGCACAGTGCCCTCCCAGTCAAGGTATCATGGCAGAGGAGAGACCAGGCCAAGTTTTTCCCTAAATAGAACATTGCTTTCCTCTCTGTGTGCAGTCAGCTTTGTTGTACAGTGGGAAGAAATTTCTGGGTATGGAGGAGAACAAAACATGGGGCAACATTTGGAAAAAGCTTGGATTGTGGGATGCAGATATTCTCCACTGGAAGAAGGTGGCTCTTCATGTACACAGGCAAACCATCTGGGCTTCATTTCATCATTTCCTGTTTTCACAAGGCCTGTGTTAAATTTCCTTCTGAAAAAAACACCATTTTGGGCCACATACCCTGCCTGAGCTGGCTCTGATTATTATGGCATTATGACTATCACTGTGCTTTTTGCATGGCTCATTACCACTTTTGTGGTGCTAAATTCCTTGAAATTACTAGAAAACTTTTGTACTAAAGTTTATGATGCCTGCATTTCTTCTTTAGGGTTTATCATAATCTTGTTTTCAATTTTGAACCCTATATCATGACATAAGTTGAAGTATTTATGATGTGTGAGCTGGAATTTCATTACAAGTTGTGTGTGGAGCTTGGTTCAGGAATGGGTGGAGGAAAAGTGACCCAACAGCTTGTGAGCATGGGTGGACATTCCCTCTAATCCCTGTAGTGGGTTCCAAGGAGATAAAGGTCCTTTTTAGTCTCAAATATATATTTTGCTGTGGGATAACTTTGGAAAGAGATGGATCTGCCTTAAAAAAAGATTTTCTTTTTCTTTCTTCCCCTTTAGCCGACCAGACACCTCCTTCTCTTGGTTTGTAAACCCTTTCAAATGTTTGTATCACCTGATCTGGAGGAATTACAAGAAGTACATCATCATTGGTATAATTCTGCTCATTCTCGTTATCTTCCTGGTTCTCTTTATCTACACACTGCCAGGTGCAATTAGTGAAAGGATAGTTATAGGAAAAGGGTAGATCATGGCTCTCATTGTAGCCAATCAAATAAGGAAACTAAAAGCTAAAAATAAGTCAGGCAAAAAGTATTAATTAACTTTAAACACATCTCATTCCTTGTAAAAATAAAAGTAACTATTTTCATCAGAAAGTGGAGCTCTCAGAATATTGGAATGTCTTCTTTGAATGCTCATTCAGACCCATCCTCAAGGTACTTTATCATTCATGTACGTTAATGTACATTAATGATGTACATCATTACTACTGCAGCTTTATTGACATTATTATTGAAAGTGTTGTTATGCACCTAAAACTGAATTTAAGAGTAAATTCTTCAATGCTATGCAGAAATTAATTTCTCAGTCGAATGTTATTATTACAGATGTATGATTAAATGTGAAGGTCAAAATCTTTACATAAAGATATATGTATAATAGAGTCTTTGCATAGTTTTGTAATTAATTCTTTTAACTTTTTTTTTCAATAACCTTATAATGGCATGATTATTTTTAGATTAAAGGTATTATTAAAAGAACTCTGAGTTTAAATTGTCTCATTTGGTGTCATGTAGAATTTATCCTGCACCTCTCAGTAAAAATGCTGTGCTCTACAAAAACATCTCACACACTCATAAATGAGCTAAGTGCCAATGACAGGGATGTAGTAGCAGAGACTGAAAGAACTTTTTCCAGCTGCAAATTGAATGTGCTAGTGATCTCTGGAGAAGAGGGATCAGGAAGATGAAGACTTGTCTATGGGCACTGTGGTAACAAATGATCCTTGTAGAGGACAGGGGACAGGGAAAATCCTGCTGCTTGAAAAGCTAAGGCAAAGAGCAATGGAAAAGAGATGGACTGCAGAACAGAACAAACCATGGAGTATTAAAGAAAACAAGGAATAAAACCTTACACTGTTGTCAGTGTGAAAATCCTCATCCTGCTTAAGAATACATAAATTTTTGCCACCTGTGTCATGCACAAGGCAAGGCTTGATAACTCAGTGATTCCACTTGGCCCTCAGATGAGTGGTTGTGAATTTGAAATAGCTATCCAAATCTCCTCCAGTGTCAGCCTTAGTTGGATGTGTCCTAAAGACAACCTTTGTGAAAATGCTTTCCGTCACGCACCCCTCACACAAAGTGTGAGCACCCTTTGCACATTTCAAAGTATCAAAAGGCAACACAAAGAGATCCTTTAAATGCTGATAATTCTGCCAAGCTCAGGGTGCAGGAATAGAAAAGCAGGCAGCTTGATCATTCTCAGAAGCCACTTATAAGGGAAGCTTGTTTGGTACTGCTTGTACCTGGCCTGCTAAGGCTGTGCAAGGAGCCTCTGTTCTCTGGCCTAAAACACTGGTAATTGCATTAGTCTGGAAAATGAATATGAGTAAAACTTCCACAGACAAGATATCTCACCTTTGAAAAGCATTTCAGAGGATTTTGGATGGGACAATTTGCTCTGGAAGTGCCTCTTCCCTATCCCATTGATGACAGAGGCAGATGGCAAAAGGCAAGCTGAAAGCGTCTCATCCCTACTCCGTCCAGCAGATTGTGACTCCACTTTCCTTCTAAATTTCAACTTCTAAATATATAATAAATATAACTAAATTATCCAGATGATTTAGTTACTCACTCAATGTGAGTGAGTATATTGCAACTAGACATGTGGCTAGACTGCAGTGGGTGAGTTTTTCTGTTATATTTTCCTTTAGAAGCTATTATTTTCACCAAGAAATTAAAACACAATTAGATGGTTAAATCTGCCCCAGCTGAATGTAGCAAGACAATGATGTGAAAAGGTGTTGATCACCCTTGAGTCCCTCTTCATCTCATATCCCTCTGCACCAGGCCATTGTCTGGTGCAGTCTCCGCTCACACACCATATATGACATATTCCTGTGAAACCACGTTTTTCAATTTTGTGCTATTTTGAAACTGAACCTGAATTAAACAAAAAACAAAATGTTGTTTATCCTGATATATTTCATCATACCATGAATTTTTGAAATGCAATTTAAAAGCTCCAATAAGAGTTTTATTCTGGTGCAAAAGATGAGAGACAATTATTAATGACTGGAGTATGTTGTGATAGCCAAAAAGGCAATGAATCTGAATTTTTTTCCATTGTGTCAGGTCAGAGGTCCTGATGCTGCATGGCAGCTGTTGCATTCATCTGTCCTTACTCTGCTTGTTTGTTCTTGCTGCCATGGACTGTGGTCTGCTCTGTCCTGATTTTTGCAGAATGTTCTGTGCCTTGCTCCCAGTCTGCAGACTGCACTGGACCCCGCAGATTGGTCTCATAGTGACTAATGACTATGTTAAAATTACTTTTATATTTGGAAGAAAGAAAGCCCTAGACAAGGTGATATAAGAATTTGCTTCCTTCATATTTTAGTCACAGAAGGGTTTTTGGTTGCCAGGCAGAGCTCCTCATTGCTCTGTGTCCCAGCTGCCAGCTCCAAAGGGATTTTTATCATCTTGGCTGAATATCCTGCTTGCCATCAGCTCCAAAGTGCAGAGCACTGTCTACTTCCAGACTAATTTATACTTTTTTTATCAGTTATTTGTGACTGGGGAAGAGCTTAACCCAAGACCTGGTTCCAGCCTCCCAGACATTTGGAATATGACAGTCACCTCTTCTTTCCATTTTCTAATTAATCTGTCTCAATAGCAAACAAATAAATGTTCATGTATTTTCTATGGAGAAAGGATAATTTATAAAACTCCTCCAGACAGCCTCTGGAAGAGTTTCAAGCACTTCTGCAAGCAGCTATGAAGACTAATCAGAGCTACGTCGATTAGCAGAAATCTGTGTCTGCTTCCTGGATGTCTCTGCCGTGGCTCCAGAACTCCGCATCAGAAACAGAGGCCTCCTTCATTAGGAACAAGCCAGAAAGGTTTAGGGATGTTCCTTCCCTCCCTCTGACTGGAGAGTGGCCCTGGCTGAACTCTCTGTGGTGACACTGACAGTTCATTACCTGGCTAATTCCAACACCCTGTCCTTCCAGAGCCACCTGCCCATCACGGCTCACACCTTTTTCATACAGCAGCTCCTCAGGAGGGCTGTGCTTGACCCACCAGCACAAGAGAGCACTGCTCCCAGCAGTGCCTCCTCCTTTGCTGCAGGGGTGGCTGGAGCTCTTTTCCAAGCAGCTGGCTCCTGTCAGAGAGCAGCTGGAAAGCTGCAAGTGCACTGCAAGCAGCTGCTGCCCCAGAAGCTGGAGTGGAGGGGAGACTGACACAGGGGAGGGAAATCACCTCCCATTTACATGTCATGTGCAGCCTGCTTTTCCCTCACCATTCAGATACTGAAAACACAGCAGACCTGGAGGTGATTTCAACAGGGACTGTAAGATTTCTTTCCCAATTGTCTTTTAAGATAGGCACAAACAGAAATATGCCCACTAGTGGGCAAAATAGACAATCGCTGCAGATTGGGAAATACAGTAAGATATATACAAAATGATGTAAAAAATACAGACCAGAAACCTGTCAGATATCCACACTACTAAGTGGGATGTTCAAACAGTATAGTTGTACTGCCATCACCCCCTTCCAGTGCATTCCTTTTCCTTTAGTTCTTTGTCATTCTCTGAAGTTCTCATCCATTGAGGGTCTCTGTATCCTCAATCCCTGAACCAGAGCAGTTAGCTACTCTGTGACACCACACCTCAGAGGCATCCTTCACCCACTTTTCTACCTCCAGCCTGAGTGGGTACAGCTGGTCCTGCAGCCTCCTTTCGAAGCTGCCTCTCCACCCTTCATCCTGGATCAAGGCATCTTGCACCCATGAGCAGTGCTTACAGCTGCAAGCTCCTGCTGGGCCGAGGGACATACTTCAGGCACAAGAAAATCCAGATAGGTTTGTTGTGCCCAAAGCATGCTGGCACATGCTGTTTAGCTTTGCACTGCAGGTTAATGCCAGATTTTAGAAAAATATTAGGAAAAGAGCCAAATGCAAAGGTTCATACAACATAAGAGCCAAAGCAAGGATTTATTTGTTTACTTATTTGTTAGTGATGTTTCTTTTCCCTGACAGATAAGCAATAGTTAATCCTCTCCAGAAACCAGCACACAGCTCTAATATACTGACAAAGCACTGGCCTGTCAATATGACCGTACAGCAAATAAACATTGGCTGCATTTAGTGCTTGTGATGAACTTTTAATTAGCCATAGCAATAAAACCTCCACAAAGCACTTAACAAAACACTTTCCAAAAGCCTCTTAACACTGTCAATATGCTCTTGGCTCTTGGTGTGTGAATAGTTTCACCCAGGAGAGCAGCTTTGCCTTTCACCGACGGCTCTCTGGGGCTGGGACCCACCATGCAGATGGATGCACACAACTTGTGCAAAACTGCTACAGCAGAGCAGCTTCAAAGGCTGTTTTAGTGTGTGGAACACAACTGGGGTGAAGACAGTACAGAAAAGTCAATATATTAAGAAAAGAGTGATAATAAGAGCAACACTTTAGGAGGATTTGTTCTGCTCAGTGCATTTCTTCCCCTTTGTTGTCTTTATTTGGAAATAGTTTGCATGTCCCAAGCTCTGCTTTGACTGAATGCTGATGGTATGCAGCTCACAAAGATATTCCATCAGCATCTATGACCATAAAGTGGATTTGCACATGGCTCTGGAAACTGGATTTTGATGTACCATGGCCAGGTCTTCCTGTTCTTGGCACAAGGAGCTGCAGTAGCTATTTGTGAGGAGCACTCATGGACTGGGGATTTAAAATGTGACAGTATGGAGGATGGGTTTCAAAGCTAGGCATTCTGATTCTCCCTCCCAGTGCCTTGACAGAACCTTAAGAGAATTGAATAACCAGTGCTGTCTGTGTGATCCTGGCTCAACATCTACCACTGGTGACAGATGTGCCCTTGAAAGACATGCCCACCACAGACCTTTGCAGTGTGGAACCAACACATGTGCTGTAAAAATTGTTGTTGGAGTTTTGGACAGGGAAGACCTTTCCACCTGGAAAGTGAAGCTGGGATGCTTTATCAGTATATTTGTTTTTTTTTTAATAACATCTGTGATGGGGAAAGATGGAAAGGCTTAATGTTTTCTACTGTCTCCACAGGTTCTGGCCAGGGCCTTTTTAGTTTGTAAAACCAAAGACTGTGCAGGCTGATAAAAAGTGAAAGTTTGGAAAGAACTATATTTGTAGTTCAAATCCTATTACAGTTCTCTAAAATTAAG